TTCTTTTTGATATGGTAAGCTCACAATATAACTATCTTCTCTGGAAAACCTAAATACGTATTCTATTTCCTGCCCTCTTTTACACTGCCTTTATTCTGTTAAAACTTCATGTTACAAATAAATTACCCTTCCACAGTGGTGACTGTATAGATTGAGTTATGTGTGAGATCCATGAGCAATCACAGGTGGATGATTTCTCTATTGCCAGTGAACAGAATTGCATGACTGTAGTGATTGCAGGACTCTATAAGGGAATGAGCTGCATTTATCATGCAGGTTAGTCAAATTTTTAACTTTGTGAACCACCCAGACAGCCTTTTGGCTATTGGGCAATATAGTCATGAAATGATATAATGAAATGAATATATAAATAAATTCAGTTGAAACCACTATGAGATTTCATGGGAATTCCAATGTAATTTTACACAGGTACAAATGGACAGAACACTCACTCTGTTTTGCAGCCTCCATTCATGGCATGTTTATCATCTTATTATACATAAGGGCAGTACAAGTGTATTTTTTCTGTAAAAGAACTTCTTACACACACACACACACACACAGAGAGAGAGAGAGAGAGGAAATTATAAGTAATGACTGATTGACATTTTTCTTGTTTAATCTACTCATCCAGTATTGAATGCCCATGTAAAAGAAGAAAAAAAAATAAAGACTAAGACTGTACACTTTACATTTGCTATTATTTTAATTAGTAAAAGAAAACCAGATCTCAACTGTTCAGCACATACAAGATGACGTTCACAGGACAAAACAACATGGTATGTGACTCTTAGCAGCAAGTTTTTATGCAGTTAAGCTCCCCTGCTCTGTGTGGTTGTTGTTGCTGCTAATTCTGCACTGGCTTGCTGGGATATGTACAAAATTTTCCAGCCCTTTCTCAATGAACATGCAAGTCTAATTCTTACCAGGTGAAGTAATAAAACCGTTTCCAGAACATGCCACTTCAGACTGCAGGTAGTGAGGACTCAAGAAATGGGATGCTTCAGGACAGCTCCCAGTTCCAACTCAGAGAACCCTTACATGCCTGGGACAAGTTCGAACTAGGCTTAGCTTGGCTGAGCACAGCTCAGCTTCCCATGCAAGGATTGGCAGAAGGGATGGAAGCACATTCACTCCTGTGAAGGAAGCACTCCTTTAAATCTGAAGATGTCCCATCAAGAGAAAGTTTAGCAACCTTAGCTGTTCACTGTGAGAACTTGTCCAATGTGACACCCAGCCTTATAAAGGAATTTAAAAAGGAACTGTCACTCTGCTTTTCAAAATTACTCAGCTATATGTATAGCAAAGATAAACATGAATTTCAGCCCAACTAATCCATTGTTTCTTACCAGCTGGTTCTATGAAATCCATTAATGCTGCTTCCCGTATATTATGATATAGATCCTTTGTGCAGGTTCTAGCAGCAATTTTTGCATATACATCTGGCTTTTCTGCTCTTTGAAATATATCAGTGTATTAGAAAAGAAATTGTAAAAAATGTGAAGTCTGCAGATAATTATGTCGATCCATTAAGGGAAAAAATAGAATAACAATCCTGCTGAAATGCTTTTATCAGAGGCAACTAAAAGTGACAATAACTGGATGAAATGCATAAAAGAATGGTTGGAAATAATTAGATGATCCCCATGCTCCCCTTCAATATGGAATAATATTTTTAAAAAACTGTTCATAGAAGCACAAATGAGTAAATATTCCTTTTTAGCTGAAAGAGCACAGAAAAATACCTTGTATTCCAAAGCGCAGTCAAAACAAGTTCACTCCTTTGAGGAGTTGCAGGCTAGTGAACTTTCGCATCCTTTTGGGACTAAGCAGTACAGAAACATGGCTGACATTTTAAAAGTGAGGAAAAATTGTCAGACAGGGAACCTCATGACTGAAATCCCAGCAATTAAAAGCATTGACTCTTCACTGAAATGATGAGTGTTCAATAATTTGTAGGAATAAAATAGACATGAGTTACAAGGAGTATTTCTGTAAAATACTATATTATATAATATTTATATTATGATTTAACACAACAGCCAGGAGCTCTTGAATGTTTGTGGCAAGAACAGACAGATACTGGAGGTATAATGGAAGAGGAAACTTTGCCAATATATGTTGTCCATGTACTCTTCAGAAGAAAGACTGGAAAAAGATAATAAACCACATCAGAGAAATTGCAGGCCATGAGTTACAATGGGCCCCAATAACTGTGATTCTAGGAGGTACTAAAGCTCAGGTCCCTAGAGTTTTAGTGGTGATTGTGAATTATATGTTAATATAGGATCTTTTTTAAAGAAAGGATCTTTTTTAAAGAAAAAGCTTAGAGATCATGCAGACCTGTTTTGGTACAATAAAAAAAAGATTAAATGATATACTAACATTTTATCAGGCATTTGGTCAGCCAATGCTGCTTCCAGTTCAGAAGAAGCGGCATCAAGCCACAAAATGGCCTTCAAAATGGATAAGGAATGAGGATGAAGTTCAGTAGGTTCTTCAGTGAAGTTCTTGATCTCAATGGAATCTTTCCTCCTTTTGTGAAATTATATGCAATAGGACCAATTCAGGAAGGGATACAAATGGATAACAATTTGCTTTAGGAACTCCAGGGAAAGTAGAAAGCTTCTGTTCTAACCCTGCCTTCAAAGCGATGTCCTCAGTAATAGCACATTCTCTTCCATAGGATGTATGCTGACTGCATCAACTTCTGTCCTAAATATACAACCACCAGGACTACTTTTCCTACCTGAATTGCATGCTTGCAAATGGTAGCTTTGAAATAAGTTGCACAAATGTGTGTTTTTCACAATCTCTCTAAGTTAACTGGACAGCCAGTTGTGATCATTTCTGGACATCACTCAGGGATGACTAATTCTCATTTCAGATTCTAAGCTTTCCCCAAGGAAATAAGCCATGATCATATTATCTATGCACTTTACAGCCTAAGACAGTGATCCTAAGAGAGCTCTTGTTTACATATTATGGCTAATGCAATGCATGTTATTATAACATACATGCTATACCAGGGACATGTTAAATGAAATATATTCCCTGTGTTCTCTTCTCCTGGAGGAGATGCACAATGCATTACAGTTGCCTTCAATTTTAGGATTCATTTATGGTAGCAGGAACATATAGTTAACAAGAATCTTCTCCCATTGGTGTCAATTAGCTTATATTCACTGTACTTAAATTGAAAGTTGATGCTTTAGGGTTTTCCTAATCAGAGGCAGACAATAGCAACAGAGAGCTATAGGCAGTAAGGCCTTGATAAGGCCAGGTATTACTATGGAATAACGACACCACTGAGTTGGGTAAAGACTCTGAAGACCTTAAAATTTCTATAATAGACACATTTAGGAATTGGAGTTTTCAAAGCAATGATTGGCCCTGTTTCTGTAAATAAGAAGGAAAGGGGCCTTCTCTGTCATTGCACTTCACCTTTGGAATTCCCTTCTGAAAGAGTGCAACTGGCACCCACGTTATCTTGCTTTCATCACTAAGTTAAGACCTTTTATTTAGTATTTGTCTTTACATTACGATTTATTGGTCTTGCTGCTGGTTTATTGTTCTATTATTTTATTGTTCCATTGCCCTGTTGTTTATATTGTGCTTATCCCTCTGTTGCATTTAATAGGACATTTTTATTGAATTACTGCATTATTGCATTGTAGTTTTAGCTATTATTATCATCATCTATTTTTATCTTATGCCATTTAATAGGACATTTTTTTTTAATTACTGCATTATTGCATTGTGGTTTTAGCTATCATTATCATCATCTATTTTTATCTGTATGTCCACAATGTGAACTGCCCAGGGAGCCTCCAGTTAAGGGGTGGCAGGCAATAAATGAATAAATAAATTGAGGGTATTATTTTACATATTTGCACATCTTATGTGTGAAATAAGTTAAAATATCTTTCTAGAACTCTCCTAGAACAGATCAGAGGGGAGTGGGGTTTATGGCAAAAATGGCTTTGTTATATGTTCTTACATATTTTACTAGAAATGGAGATTCATCTTGATATATGAACAAGAAGATGAAGAGGTGAAAGGTAAATCAATGAAGAAGAGCACATGCTCAGGAGTAAGAGATCAGATAGCTGCATGAGCGGTAGTAGCTTCTCTTAGGTAGGAAAAAAGAATCCAAAGAACAGATGGGATCCCTGTGAAGCTCAGACATGGAGATCTCAGAATGTTTCATTAAGAATTTTCAGTTGGAAACTAGAAACAGAACTTGTGAAAAGGGAGTGAAAGGCAGAAAAACTGCACAGGATACAGTAGGTCATATTTTTCTATGAATAAATATGCATAAAATTTGGGAGAGTTCTTTTTTTTTTTAAATAAAAATTCCACATGACCACAAAATGCAGAAAACTCAGGAAAAGTCAATCCACTACAGAATCTGAGACAGGATTCACAAAAATCTCATTGGAATCCGTGCAGATTTCTCTACAGTTGAGTGATTTACTCTCTGTGGTGCATAGTATTTACTTGGGATATTTACAGAATTCATTCATCCACAATTATGCAGAAAGTCTGGATTTCCATGTTAAATTAACTACACTGCTTACACTGGCACAAGTGTGAGCATTTGACAATGTTGACATTTTTTCAGAAATTAGTTAAAATTGCTTATTTTCTGATTTATAGATAGTGAGCACTTTGTGACATGAACATAATGGCATCTTTTTGTTCTTGCACTATTTTGTCAAGATTTTTTTGACAAGATTTTTTTGGACATTTTTTGGTCTCCTTTATTGTTCTTTATTTATAATGCATTAAACACATGAAAAAGAACATTTCAAAACTGAATGTCTTGCTTATTTTCACTTCATGAATCATGAAGAACATCAAGTATTATCTATGGGCTAAACTAAGGCAGATCTGATTGTGAAGAATGGATTTTACTTGTTATGACAATCAAGAATTATTGCTGTTTGTCTCTGTAATTTCTTAGATTACAGTCTTATTTTTAATAACAGTTTCAAAGGATGATCTGGCACAATCAGACGATGGTCAATGAGTTTATTCTTTTGGGATTTACCAACTTGGGCCAACTCCAGATCCTTCTATTTGTCATATTTCTTGTCTTCTATCTGACAACTGTGCTGGGAAACTTCCTCATCATTTTGCTAACAGGTCTGGACAGCAACTTGCACACCCCAATGTACTTCTTTCTCCAAATTCTCTCCTTCGCAGAAATTGGATTTGTTTCAGCGATCATCCCTAAACTGCTTGTGAACCTTCTCTCAGATAAAAAGACCATTTCCTTATTAGGATGCAGGGCACAGATATACTGTGTCTTCTTCTTTGGGGTCATGGAATGCTTCATACTAATAGTCATGGCATATGATCGTTTTGTTGCCTTATGCAATCCTCTGCGTTATACAGTCATAATGAACAGGAAGCTCTGCATTTCCTTGGTGACAGCTGTATGGGCCTTAGGATTCCCTGTTGCAAGTATACAAAGCACGTGGCTGCTCAGCTTTCCATTCTGCAGATCCAATGAAATTTCTCATTTCTTTTGTGATGCTCCACCAATTTTACAGCTTGCCTGTGCAGACACTTACAGCTTTGAGCTCTTTTCATTCATAGGAACGTTTATCATTCTCCTGTGCCCCTTCGCACTGATCTTGGTCTCCTACATTCATATCATCAGTACCATCTTGAGGATCCCTTCAGTTGAGGGGAGATGGAAAGCTTTCTCCACCTGCTCATCACACATTATTGTTGTGACTCTATTTTATGGGTCAGCTAGTCTGACTCACCTTCAGCCCAAGTCAAGCTCTGTCCCAGGAAATAAGCATTTGCTTTCTCTCTCCTATGTGATACTCACTCCCATGTTGAACCCATTCATCTACAGCCTGCGCAACAAAGAGGTAAAAGGAGCCTTAATTAGGCTGATCAGAAAGAAAATATGTTGATGACAATGTCCAAAAATTCTTCAAGTCAAAACACACACATGGAGTACTCTGATTAATAAGTAGCAAAATATTTCATGGGATTTATATTCTATATACCTCTGTCCTAAATAATTTGTACCTTCATAAAAATTACTTAAGATCACTCCTGCAGCTATTAATGAGACAGATGATACTTTATAGGTGACCTTTAAAAATGAACCCTCTTTTTTGCTCCAGTGGCATGTGAACTTTGGACTTTCTTGTTTAACCTCCAAAGAGTGTCATAGTGTTGTACAGTCATTAGCATCAGCATCGTTGTCGTTGTCATCAGCTCCTTGGACTGTAGAAGGGGAAGAATGCTGAATGGGAAAATCATATATTTTCTGTAATTACAGAGATACCTTTAAGTACTGCTCAGAGAATAAGACACTACTATTTCCTAAGAAGAAATACCAAGATGAGTACTCAATGTCGGAAAATGGAGGCTGGTGCTTACACAATTTCAAGGCATAAAGAGTTATGGAATCCTTCAGATGGGGATGTATGAAATTGATGTGTATGATTCCATGTTCTTCAACTGTTGCCCTCTTCTCTACCTTCTACCAAATTTGTCATCTTGGGCATACAAATCACATACCAGAGCTTGCTTAGCATTATCTAAGAGCTTCTCTGTATGAGGGTTTCACCAAGCCAATGAAAGGCAGACATAGTCATTGTGCTTGAATGAAAATCATCAGTGACTTTCACCAAAATTGGAAGGAAAAATAAGGGTGGATTATATGCTAAGCTGAAGCTTGGAATAAAAGGGCAAATGTGTCGATTTTCAGCACTTAACTTTGTAAAATTTGTACTGTACAGTTTTTAAATTTTACATAATAGTAGACTTCATCAAATGTTTCATGGTAACATGCTTCACAGTATTAACTAAATGTCTTTCTTTCATTGTAATTCTTTCTTTCATTTCAAAGTCAGAGCATTATAAATATGGAAGTTGTTTTGGATACAAATTTTAATTGCGATTATTTTCTCATTTACCTTATTTGGCTTTAATTGAGGGCTTACATATTCCTCTGCTCACCATTTCCATAGAAATAGTTAAGTTGCATTCTTATATCTAGTTTCCTTTGAGTTAGCCCCACAAATTTCAATGGGATTTGCTTTTTAGATATGAAGAGCATCATACAGGTTTGCAAGCCACAGTGCTTTCTTGCACAAGATGGTCTGCCTTGTCATCTGAACCCTACTGTGATATTTCAGTATGGTGCATTTGGTTTTTAGAAACCACAATTTACCATAGTTCCTCTCATCATCCAAACCCAGCATTGTGACTTCCACAGTCCTAGCGTGCAGCTAGCACAAAGTCCCCTGGAAAGAGTAGCAGTTTCTGCATGAGCTGCTCCAACCTCCTGCTCCCAGAGTCTCAGGTGCAGTGGCTGATGGAATACATGCCAACAGTGGAAGAACTGAGCAAGGAGGGTGAAAACCACACTAGGGTAGACTCCACTTAATTGTCTGTCAAACACATCCAGGAAAAAAGTACACCCTAGAAACCACACAGAATCACTTGTTATAATCTGTGAACCCAGCCATAAGTTATTAAAGAGGAAACACGTGTATTTTGAAGAGCATTTAAATATTATATTTTCAGTAATTAAATCTTATAAGTAGCAGCCTCATGGAAGGTTTGATTCAACAAGAAAATAGACACAACTTTTCATGAGGGACATGTATGTTTATACATCTCAGAAGGAGAGGAAGCAGCCACAGAAAGTATGCACACAGCTTGTCTCGAGAACGGGGGGAAATGATCTAAGTGAGTCATGTGTAGCTTAACATGGACACCATCTCTCATTTGTTCAAGAATGAAGAGGTATGCTGGAAAATACTTAGAACAAGTCATCAGTTTTCACTAGATTTATTTCAATAGGTTTATTTACTGCAACTATTGTATCGCTCCTTATAACAAGTTTCTCAGGGCAGCTAATAATAAAATTATGAATAATATATTCAAAGAAGATCAAAGTAATGAACTCTGTAAACATTTCTTTTCACCTACTAGATTGTCCTCACATTATTTTGGAAGTATATGATCAACATGTATTGAGCATCAGAAACAAGTGGGGTTTATCAGGTAGAACCTCAGATAGATGTCTCCAGATGCATCTACATTTTCTATGCTGCAAAGGCTTTCTTCATAGTTTTGGCTGAGTATTTTTCAGAGCAAGGCATACATGTATAAGTGTATTGGCTGAAGACCTGATAATTAAATAACTGGTGTGATGGTGATTGGAATGGGGAAGAATGCAGTCCTTCTAAATCTGAGTCAAAATTCCCCTTGATTATTAAAGGATGAACCTGGTTTCCACAATGTACTTGAAAACACATTTTCAGGGAGAAATCTGAAAGATTATAAATTTGTCAATGTTAATATTATCTATAATGTATTGAAAACTTTGTAGAACATGTTAATAGGAACTAATTTCCCTCCCCCCTTCCTCCCCCTGGTACATGTGTACTGTATGGTACATTTTGTGTTTTTTTTCTAGATTGTTAAAGTGTTTTAAAGACATGGCTGCTGACCTTTGCTTCTAATGGTGGGCAGCACAATCCTATGGCTGCTAGGCAGAATCTAGGTTGCCATGGGAATTTTGGATGCCCAGGTCCAAAGATCACTCTGACCTCATAGTGGTATCTTCCAGCTTAGAGTACCCTCACCCCTCCTTACATCCAGCATGGGAAAAACTGTGCTGGCTGCTTCTTCGAGCTTGCAAGAAAAAACTTGGAAATGGGATTCTGTGGTTGTTTTGGAATGTGGGGAAAGGAGGAAGCTGGTGTTGTCATAACTGGAGTATCCTGGTGGCATCTCAGCCTCCTCTCTCATGCTCTGCAGCGAAATGCTTACATAGTCATTGAGGTGTTTTGCAGGATGGAAGGAGTGCAGAGGAAATCAGAGAGATTTGGTTGAGATCAGAGAATTGAGGACAGAGGATTCTCCCAAACTGGAACTGTCTCAGAGTTTTTAAATAAAAACTTTGAATTATTCCTGCTATCATTATTTTATCATTGGGTTTAGATGGCATGATTTTGTGATTACTTGTAGTCCCCTTCCATTTTATATGTACATGATACAATTTTATTGGGGATTATATACAGTTTAGGCTGGAATAGGTTACTGTGTTGACTGCCATAAGAGGTTATATAGCCAGCCCTTAAAGGTGATGCAGAAATATTTAACATAAAATCGGATGCTTGTTTTTAATGGATAAACCAGACTAGGGCACAGTTAGGGCATAACTGAAATCTATGCTGATTTAACTTGTAGAAAGTCTGAAAGAACTGAACTGGGTTTATTTCTGAATACATATGTTTAAGAGTGTACTCTAGTAAGTTGCACATTATCTGTCTCCAACCCAATTATTGCTAAACAATGTAAAATATAGGACAATAGGTATGACCTACAATATAATTTGAGTGATTCATACAAATCAGGAATTATAGAGATGGATCACGGAATCAGTCAGGCTTAAACTTATCAAATTGCTTCCATTTCCATCTTCAGCTTGCTACTTTCTCATTTTTGGATGTGAACATTTGTTGTAGTAAAAAAGGGACACAATTTGGCGCACTTTTAAAAAAATCACCAAAGAGTGTACTTACCCTGAAGCATTTTATTTTCCCAATGTTTGAAGATTTGATTGTTTTCATAGGGGCTTTATTGTTGTTTGGAAATTTTATTTGCATGCTGTGTTTCATTTTACATTGTCTTGTTGTTAAACCATCCTGAGACCATGCTAAGGGATGGTCTAGAAAAGTTTTAAATAAATAAATGTCAACGGATGGATGGACTCTCCAACCCCATGCATACATTTCAAACATAATTGCAAGTTTGGGAATGTGCAAGTTTTGTCCCCAGAGGCACCCATGCACATGGTCAGGCATTCGAGTGGGTATGTTCTTCTGTTTAATGAAGTGAAGCCAAATATATGTTAATACTGCATGTGCTCACTTATTCGTAAGACTCACTATATATCATTTCTAAGGGTGCATATATTCACACAACATGGCTGGCTGGAGCATGCTGTGCGTTTTCTGTCTAAACATGCATAGGATTGTGTCTCCAGTCTTTAAAAGTTAAGTTTAATCATATTATTTATTTATTTATTTATTTATTTATTTATTTATTTATTTATTTATTTAGAAATTTTGTATGCTGTCCCATCGCTTATAGCCTTGAGACAGCTCACATAAATAATTAAATATGATACAGAATAATACAAAATACAATTAAAGTCCGGTTTCATTTTATGGACTTCTTTTTAGTTCATTTTGACCATTGTTGGTTTTAATTTCATCCAGTCAGGACCTTTGGGAATGAAGCAGTAGATAAAATTCAAAATAATTTTAAAAACATTTCATTTGATATCTCATGCCAACTTCTTTCTAGATAGAGGAATGGAGAAAAAAATGGAGAAAAACAGAAGAAAGCAGAATGGAGAAATGAAACATACATCACTGAATTTATCCTCTTGGATTTTGGGGATTTTCAGGAACTACTGATTCTGTTCTACTTTTTGTTTTTTCTGATCTACATTTTTACCATGGCAGGCAATATCCTCATCCTTGTCCTGGCCATAGCTGATTCTCAACTTCACACACCCATGTATTTCTTCCTGGGGAATTTATCTTGTTTGGAGATTTGCTATGCTTCTACCATTCTGCCGAGGGCCCTTGCCAGCTTCATCACAGGAAATTGAATTATTTCAGTTTGGGGGTGCACAGTGCAATTCTATATCTTTGCTTCTCTGGCATGCGTGGAATGTTGTCTCTTACTTGTTATGCCATAGGATTGGTATTTGGCAATATGCAAGCCACTGCACTATGCTACAATTATGAAAAAAGACTCTGTCTTAGTCTAGCAAGTGTCTGCTGGATTACTGAGTTCCTGGCCATGTCTGTAATGTTGTACCTAATGGCAAGATTAACATTTTGTGGCCCCAGGAAAATAGATCATTTCTTCTGTGATCTTGCACCTTTCATGAAAATTGCCTGCAATGAAACAAGGAAAATAGAACTGGTGGCTTCAATCCTCTCTTCATTGTTCACATGGCCCCCATTTTTTTAAATAATGGCATCCTATGTGCGTATCATATCCATCATCTTGAAAATCCCATCCACTGCTGGAAAGAAGAAGGCATTCTCAACCTGTTCATCCCATCTCATAGTTGTTACACTTATCTATGGAACATTAAACAGTGTATGCACTGCCAACAAAACAGATCACGGAGTACTCTAAACAAAGTTTGTTCTGTGCTTTATACAGTACTGACCCCCCTAGTTAATCCCCTAATATACAGTCTGAGAAACAAGGAGGTCAAAGATGTCCTGAAGAAACATATTTGGAAAGTAATACTTCCGTAAGAACTTAAGAGTTCTGTAAGAGTCTGAGGTTATACTTAGAGAGTAGCCTAAACTGGTATGCATGGCAATCTCTGCTTCTGTGATGGAACCAGAGCCTCTTTGTGATGAAGACTAACATCAGGAATATTGGAGTTTATGCAGTAAGTGGTTTTAATATTACCAAAAGTCTGTAAATCCTTTTTGTTTATATCACCCACCCTGCCTTGTCTGAATTAGCCAGCTTTGGGCTAATTGTATCCATGTAATTTTATGCAATTGGTAAAAATTTGGAGAAATTAGTGGCAAGAAATTAGTGTGTCAACTTTAGTATGCCTACCTTGAACATGAAATTGTGGTTCATACATTTTGGAAGCAATAAATTTAAAAAAAAAATTGAAGCCTATATTGCATTATAATGGAATGCTATCTGATGACAATTGACTTTAAATTCTAGCCTTGACCCAAAACAGAACAAGCCCAAGCCCAAGCCCAAGCCCAAGCCCAAGCCCAAGCCCAAGCCCAAGCCCAGCCCAGCCCAGCCCAGCCCAGCCCAAAATCTGAATAATAAAATAAATAATGAAATAATGAAAAGAGTGGAGAAATCACTAGAGTCAATGTCTGTCAGGCACTCTGTAACCATAATACAAATTAAAGCATTATAAAAATGCTAAATATACAAATACATATTTTAATATGCTGTGAAAATTTATTCTTGTATCTGCTGTATTATGTATATGCTTTGTGAATAGCATCCAATGGTATGTTCAAAACTATGTAATATTTCAATAGCCATTCTTGAATTGATGTGTTTCAGAGTGTTTCCAAATGTCAGAGCATAAATTTTAACAGTTATCAATACATACTTAATCAGTGGTTTCTGCAAATTAAAAGTACTATTCTGGTTTACATTACACAGAACTAATTATGGGTCTAGACTCCAAGTAAGTCCTAAAACATTTAGAAATTATGTGTCTATCATGTGTCTCCAATAATTCTTAAGCCAAATGAGCAATCTCTAATCCACCAGGTAATCTACCTGCTGTGCAACACCAGAAAAATAGCTCAAATTAGTGCTTCTGGAAGGGACAACTCAGCAGAAGGGATAGCAGCATCTTTATCACATATTAGATCTGCTGCTTCATAACCCTAACCCTTGCCCTGATCTCAAAATGGTCTATACTCCTGCCTCATCCGCAAAGGTATATCTTTAGTAAAACTATGGCAGTTGAAATGTACTATTGTGAAAGACTAGGGTAGCAAATGCAACTCAGTTACACAAATTCCATGGTACAAGAATGCACAAATTGCTGCCATTAAAATAAAAATTAAAATCTGCATATTGGATCATTTTGCATATATTTGCTGCCCCTAAAATCCAACTTCCTCATTTTGGCTTAATTTGCTGAGCTGACACCAACAGGGGGAAATGTAACCAAATAAGCCATGGCAGAACTGGGGAAATCTCCTGAGTTTTCACTTTAAAATGGAATGTTCATCCGTCTCTATTTCTGTCATCCCAGAAACATGTTCCATGGTCTTTGGAACCCACTGTCTAGCCACTGCGGCTCTCTCCTTTGAGACTATATCCATTTTCCTGGTGGTAAAGCACAGTGGCAGTGTTAAAACAGCCTTTGGGGCTTTACAAAGATGTTCCATTCCCTTGTGGGTTGGGATGAATGGTATTACAATTTTTCCCCAGATAAAACCTACATAAACCTGTGTTAGGACACAATGATTCCACACTCCTAGTTATATTTCTATTCTCACCTCTGCAACAAAGGACCTCCAAGCATTTACACTCCAAAACAATGCAAAGGAAAGAAGTAACAGGACTTGGTTTGCACAAACTGATTTGGTGTCAAGTCATCATAAACAGTGGCTAGAGTTTTAAGAGTCTGGAAATGGGTATTCCAAAGGTTTTCAGGAAAAAAGGATAAGGCAATGAATGACATCATCTACCTTCCAGTGATTGCTGTATGGTGAGTGTGTCAATAGCTTCAGAAGTCTATTTCCTAGGTGATATCTTGTGCCTTCATGTTGAACTATGGCACACCATCCACCAAAAAGCTGTTCCAACATCCTGATCATGCAGAAACCCTGTTAACATGTCCCTTTGAGGTGAACATCCTAAAAAATGAAGCTCTGTGCCTGACAGGGTATAGGCATAGAATGCAGCTCCAACTGCATGCCATTGTTGTGGCAGAAAAGACTGTGACACAGCAATCCCCATCAGTCAAAGATCCCAGGTAATGTGTGAACCAGATGTTAGCCTATCACCATCTATTAACAGAGGAAAGCTAAAATGGAATGCCTATGTTCAGAGAGAATGTACCTTTGTATAATAGATACTGGAGATTAGTATTTTTTAGAAAGTTGACTAGTCTCTGGGTTCACTTGCTTGTAACCTCCCAAGTAGCTAGCTTTCCTGCATGCGTACATGGATGCTCCCTCTCCCTCTCTCTCTCTCTCTCTCTCTCTCTCTCTCTCTCTCTCTCTCTCTCTCTCTCTCTCTCACACACACACACACACACACACACACACACACACACAGAGAGAGACTTCTTTTTTAACTGTCTCTCCCTCTTTTTTCATGGTGAACTAAATCATCTGTTTCTCAGCATTATCATGATAGTTCAAGGTCCCATATTCTTTCACTGCTGGCATAGTACTAACTCTGTGCATGATTGATATTATGTTATTATGCACAAGACCTTCTGTGCAGCACAATTCCCAAATAAGATAAAACACTTGAAAAGAATCCACTTCAGATCTGCACAATATATCAGCTTTAAAATCACTAGGAGGAGCAAATACTATGACACATAATGCAGATGGGTTTCAGGGTGTCTCAAAAATATAGTAGCTCTGACAGAAAATATATCTAAGATTTTACTGCTGCAGAGCAAAGAGAAGCTAAACATTTGAAAAGCTGCCCTGGAGTGCTCTATACATGGAAAGCAGCTATCTTTCCCACATCAGATCCATAACTTGTTCACCAACATCCACCTCCTTTACCAATTCATTCCGCATCTCCCCATCAGTTCCAGATATGCCCTGTCTGTAATGCTGTAATTATGAAAAGATGTGTGAGATATGCAGCTTGAGAAGATATATGCCACTGGTGGGTTTTGTGGTTACGCAATTTGGATCTTTGAAGCAGGCAACCTTGAAAGAAAGTTAATTTTGCTTTATGTGCAGTTGTTCTGTGGCAGTCAGAATTAACTGTGGTATTCAAAGATATGTGTCAGTACAGGCAGTTTTTCTCAAAGTGACTATGCACTCTATTATTCTAGAACAATATGGTGGAGAACACCAGCAAGGAAAACCAAACCACCATAACTGAATTCATCTTGCTGGGATTCGAACATCCTCCTGAACTCTGGATCCCACTCTTCTTGCTGTTTTTCTTTGTCTATATTATGACTTTGGCTGGGAACATGACCATCGTTGCCTTAGTTGTGACTGATAGAAGCCTTCAGACTTCCATGTACATCTTCTTGGGAAACTTGTCCTTCCTGGAGATGTGCTACACCTCCACCATCTTGCCCAGGATGCTTGCCAATATCTTCCGTGGAAACAAGGCTGTGACATTCAATGGCTGTATTATACAATTATATTGCTTTAGTTTCCTGGCAACTGCAGAATGTTATCTATTGGCTGTGATGGCTTATGATCGGTACCTAGCTATATGCAAGCCCTTGCATTATGCTATAATGATGAATGCCAAAATGACCATCCAGTTGGTAGCAGCTTCTTGGTTATGTCCTGTCATTGTTCTGACTGTGCTTGTGGTGTTGGTGTCCGGGCTGACTTTCTGTGGCCCCAAGGAAATCAACCACTTTTTCTGTGATCTCAGCCCAGTGATTCATCTCTCCTGCACAGACATCAAAGGGGTGCTGTTGACAATCTTCCTAATGGCCATTGTGGATACCTTCCCCCCATTCCTGTTCACCATGTTATCTTATGTTTTCATCATTGCCACCATCCTGAGGATGCCATCTGCCAAGGACAGACAGAAAGCATTTTCCACCTGTTCCTCTCACCTTACTGTGGTGACCCTTTTCTATGGGACCCTGATTACGGTTTATGCCCTGCCCCAAACAGACAGATTCAGGGATCTAAACAAAATATGTTCTTTGTTTTATACCATTTTGACACCCTTAGCCAATCCCATCATATACAGCTTGAGAAATAAACAGGTGAAAGATGCCCTTATCAGAGCCTTTGGTAAGGGAAAGATGTATGTAGGAAGGTAGTGTGATTCTCAGTAAGATTAGAGATAGCATAACAGTAAGGGTGTCTATAAAATCTCTGCTTCATCTGGAGCAAGATGAACTCATTGAGATTCTCCAAATTCCATTTCACATTTGGCTTGTCTCAGTTCCATTCTAACTTGCAACTTGGGTTTCTCTTCATTCCACTGTGAGAAAGTGTATGAAAAATAAATAAATAAGTAAATAAACCACTAACAAAGCCCTGTGCACTTTTGGCGAGTAGTTTCAGGGTAGAGTTGTGCCTCTGCCCCACCATGTCTGAATTTGCATGCACACACACACAAAGAAAAATGGTATATGGGGAACATGCACCTTGTTTGCAAGCATAACCCCCAAAGATTTGACAACAAGTCTAACCTAGATTGAGAAACATCCACTTAGCAGATATTCAGTGGGTATTCTCTAATTTTTATCTAACTACTTCAATTCATTAACTGATTCTTCATGTGAGCAAGCCTTTCTTAAGCAATAACTCAAGGGGATATTTTCCTCCTTAGAGGATGAGAGAAAGCCATATATAAAATCCGACACTGAAATCACTCAGTACTTCACTAACGGTCCAGCTAAAAGTTAATAGTTATGTTACTTCACAGTGAAAGCTCAGCTATTTCTCATCAGATCAGTAAGAGTAAGTGATTTGCACTGAGGTCCTTCTGGCTATTCCACTGTAGAATTCTTCCCTATTTTGAAGATGATGAAGGGTAAGAAATGGTGGCACATTATGGTTCAGATTTTAACTTGGTGATGTTTAAAAGAACTGTCCACATGTTCTTTTGAGAAAACTCCCACATGGGCATTTCTTGAAGGGCCAGCAACTATTCAAACAAAAGGTATGGTGCTGGTTCTTTTTTGGAAAGAAAAGTATGGACAAGGACTGCTTGAAAGTGCTATCTGTCAGTTATGTGCGTGCATGTGTCTTGGGGAACAGTGGTGGTGGTGGCGGTGAATGCGGTCTTTCTTCAATAGAGCCTTCAGGCACTATTAAAGCTGGCAATGCTCTTACTAATCCTCTGGAATCTGCAGGAAAATATAATCTGTGTGGACTTCTCCAAATGAGACTCCTAGCCTTCCCTTCAGCTACTGTAAAGCATGCATGAAGAGCTTGTCTAATTTTCAAAAACAGGGGGAGGGGGGATTTTAGAAACAGGCTGAGCTTCTTTACTGAATTTTTGAGACTTTAATGAAGTCATTAATGAAATTTAAGAAGCCTGTCATGAGTCCAACTTCCACACTTCTTGCTTTCCTACAGATGCAGACCAAAGGATGAGAAACGTAGTCCTTCACTAAAGCTTGGCAAGTATGCAAGCAGCATGGATCACAATTCCCTACAATAAATGGAAGTAGCCTCTGCCCATGTGCAAATTGAATCCAAACTGAAATGAAACCCCCCTCCCCTCCTTTTCTACTGTTTGAGGCCCAAATGGCTTTTCTGAATTGGTCTGCTTGATTACAGTGTCTCAAAAATATAATAGCTTTTACTGAAAATACATCTTCAAAGAGGAAAGAGAAGCTAAAAATCTGTGCTCTACACACTTAATGCAGCTATCTTTCCCACATCAGATCCATAACTTGTTCATCAACATCCACTTCCTTTAACCATTTCATTCTGCATCTCCCCATCAATTCCAGATGTGCCCTTTCCCTAAATGCTGTAATTATGAAAAAATGTGTGAGATATGCAGCTTGAGAAGATATATGCCACTGCTGGGTTCTGTGGTTATGAAATTTGGATCTCTGAAGCAGACAACCTTTTAAAAAGAATTCTTTCATTGAGAAGGTTAATTTTGCTCTATGTGCAGTTGTTCTGTGGCAGTCAGAATTAACTGTGTCATTCAAAGATATGTGTCAGTACAGGCAGTTTATCTCAAAGTGACTATGCACTCTATTATTCTAGAACAATATGATAGAGAACACCAACAAGGAAAACCAAACCACCATAACTGAATTCATCTTGCTGGGATTTGAACATCCTCCTGAACTCTGGATCCCACTCTTCTTGCTGTTTTTCTTTGTCTATATTATGACTTTAGCTGGGAACATGACCATTGTTGCCTTAGTTGTGACTGATAGAAGCCTTCAGACTTCCATGTACCTCTTCTTGGGAAACTTGTCCTTCCTGGAGATGTGCTACAGCTCAACCATATTGCCCAGGATGCTCGCCAATATCTTCAGTGGAAACAAGGCTGTGACATTCAATGGCTGTATTATACAACTATATTGCTTTAGTTTCTTGGCAACTGCAGAATGTTATCTATTGGCTGTGATGGCTTATGATCGGTACCTAGCTATATGCAAGCCCTTGCATTATGCTATAATGATGAATGCCAAAATGACCATCCAGTTGGTAGCAGCTTCTTGGTTATGTCCTGTCATTGTTCTGACTGTGCTTGTGGTGTTGGTGTCCGGGCTGACTTTCTGTGGCCCCAAGGAAATCAACCACTTTTTCTGTGATTTCAGCCCAGTGGTTCATCTCTCCTGCACAGACATCAAAGGGGTGATGTTGACAGTCTTCATAATATCCATTATAGATACCTTCTCGCCATTTCTGTTCACCCTGCTATCTTATGTTTTCATCATTGCCACCATCCTGAGGATGCCATCTGCCAAGGACAGACAGAAAGCATTTTCCACCTGTTCCTCTCACCTTCTTGTGGTGACCCTTTTCTATGGGACCCTGATTATGGTGTATGTCCTGCCCCAAACAGACAGCGATTTAAACAAAATATGCTCTCTGTTTTATACCACTTTGACACCCTTAGCCAACCCCATCATATACAGCTTGAGAAATAAACAGGTGAAAGATGCCCTTATCAAAGCCTTTGGTAAGGGAAAGATGTATGTAGGAAGGTAGTGTGATTCTCAGTAATATTAGAGACAGCATAACAGTAAATGCTTCTATGAGATTTCTACTGCATCTGGAGCAACCTGAACACATTGAGATTCTCTGAACTTGAAGCTGGGCTTGCCTCAATCCCATTCTCATTTGCAACCTGGGTTTCTCTTCATTCCACTGTGAGAAAGTGTATGACAAGTAAATGAATAAATAAAACTACTACAAAAAGTCCTGTACAGTTTTGGGGATAGAGTTGTTTATATGTGCCTCTGCCCAGCCATGACTGAAGTTGCATGAACACACTCACACACATAGAGTGAGGGGGGATTTCAAAAAGAAGAATGGTGCATTGGGAACATGCACCTTGTTTGCAAGCAGAACTGTGCTCCATGAGGATCCACCCCAAGGATTGCCCTTCTGGGAGGCTTAAATGTTCTGGTTTCAGGAAAATATGCCTTTGTTCCATTTCCCAGGATTTTTAATGCATTAGGGTTTAAGCAAACAAACAAAACCCTCAAAAGATGCATGGACTTAAAAAAGAAAGACTGTATTTTGTATTGTACAGGATCTTGTTCTTGTCAACTGCAGGAATGTCTGCTGAAGAGAAGTCTCAGCATTATTTACAGAAATAAAGACATTTTATATAAATAAATGAGTACTGTCATAGAAATTCAACCAATACTTAGAGAAAGGTGTATAGTAGGAAGCTACTGTTGGGAAAGTTCAAATAAATCCTCAAATAAAATGTATGCTTTTGAGAGTCCTCTAATATAAAATCTGGCAGCACTGCCCTTATTCTCCTTTCCCTCCTGTAGGGTTTTTCTTTTCTGGTTCCTTCCCTGGGAGAAGGAAAAACAGCCCCAAGGTATGGAAATCATCTACTCATTCTCAGCTCCTGATTGTCCAACTGAAACGGAATTGAAAAAATGTTGCAAGATTGGGGCAGCTGCGCTTCCTTTGCAATGTAAAAATACCTTGCCAACTCATGCTTTGTCTTAAGGCAGCTCATGTTTTGTCTTAAGGAATTCTGTATCTCTGATTGCAAAACTCATTAGATTTCTGTAACTCCTGATTGTTTTACTTGTTATCTGTTACTCAAGCCTTCAATGGGTCATGGTGTTTTTCCGATGCCTATAAGGATTTCTCAGTGTCTCTGTATTATTCCCCATTCTCCTAACTTCTCACCCTTTCAGAATCTCATTGCTGCCTTGAAACTGTGTACATGACCCACAGCTTATAAAAACCTCCGCCTATGCTCTGGAAGCTTGTAGACAGTTTGGTATACTGCCTACCTGGCAGCACTGTTGTATTTGTCTCTGTTAGAGGAGTACCTGGGTGTTCTGCCAATGAACTGCTGAGGACTAAGCATGCCTCTTCCATGTGGATCCAAGTGTACATTCTCCTGGTTCTGCAATTCCAAGATATTCTCAAACTACCATAGGAAGACTTCGCTATACTCTCCTGTTAAACACTTCCATTAGAACATCTGACATATTGGAAGTGTTGATTCATTTCACTTGAATCAACCTAGCTGGTTGGACCATTGTTCTGACATGTTCTGCTTCACTTTTCTTTGGCTTCCATGATAAATGGGTACCCCAGGGCCTTCTCTTGAGCACCATCCTGTACATCTGAATCCTTGTAAAACTCAGTGAATTTGCCAAAGTGTCACTGCCTTCTTCAGCCTTGCCCCAGTGTGGATACCTTTGGGTGGAAATTGTCCTCTTAGCCAGTTCTGCTCTATTGGAAAATGTCTAATGTGGTGAGCATGTGGCTCATGTGCCTTACATCTCCACCAGAACTTCCCCTGTAGCAACTTCTCTGAACCACAATATGTATTGTGATGTTTTTGAATGCATACAAAGAAAAGGTTTGCTGCTTTAAAGATTTGTAAGATTTGTCTTCAGAGCTCACCCTCCTGTGTGTGTATGTGTGTATGTGCACGCACAGTAACTGCACCAGGTTTTTGGTGTTGCAGCCCACAATCTGCAGTGGGCATGTTTGGATTCCACATTCATGCATGGGGAATGTCCCTTGACAGGTGTGTCCCCATTCTTTCCTGTGCCCATCCCTCTGCCCTGTGCACCCCCCCACCCTCAGTGCCTTTTCTCCATTCTGCATATGCATGCTGTTGTGTACAACCCACTGGACACCCTTTCCTACATTTCTCTTGAAATATTTAATTCAATATTTAATATATTTAATTTTGAAAGATGGTGCACCGTTCTCCTCTGTCTGCTAACTTCTTGCTCAGTTTCTCAGAAGAATAAAACATGGGTAGAAGAGATACCAAATGCACAAATAAAAATGGAATGGAAAAGAGGCAGAGGCTGACACACAGACCAAATCCATGGCTGTTCCTGCTGGGCAACTGAGGGCAGACGAGGCAGATTCTCCTCTCCTGGCTTCCTTCCCACTGTTACTGATGGCCTGTCCCTGCAATCATCACCACACCTTTTTGTACATTTATATTATTTAGTTACAGTCCTTGTGCAACTTTGTTCCTCTAAAACACTACTATCGCACATTTGTTTTAAAATGTATTTTAAAATAAATGGATAGTTAAAACAACTTTCAGCCACTGAAAAAGAAGTAAGCCTACATGGTTTTATCAAAACATATTGAGCTACAGTAGATGCTGTCTCAGGGGCTCAGAGAGGGGTATTTAAACAAAGTAGGCAGAGCACCATGTTCTTATCTTATGAGAAACACTGCAGGAAGGAACTGGAGGTAGGAATCTTATGATGGATGGATGGATGGATGGATGGAGCAACTTAAATAGAGGCAGAGTTTTTTTTTTGTTGTTTTTGTTAAACATAAAACTTTATGTTTAAAGTTCTAAAGTCCTTTAAAACTTTTAACATAAAACTTTTAAAACTTTTCAAGAGTAAATTGAGAGATGTGGCTGGATTAATGCTTACTAGTACATGGGATCACTACAAAATACTACACAAAAAGTGTTTTTAGATTGCCATGCATATGATTTATGAGTGGTTAATGCCAGTGTTTGATATGGTTAGATATGGCAGAAGCAACAACAACAATAATCACCTTTGGTCTAAATGGACAACAGTAAAAGGCATGCACACACATTGTAATTGGTACAATTGTGTTTAAATTGCTAAGTTTTCTTGCAACAAAAATAGGCTTGAGCTTACAATCCTTTTCCAATCATTGTTTTAATGTTTACTGCAGGAAACCACTGCAGTTTACCTCCAGATTGTCCATTCGGCATTCCCACCACCTCATGTATAATGGAGTGTGTATGCATTATTTTCCGTTTAACTCAGATGCTCACCCTGATGATCATATAGGTAATACTAGGCTAGACCATACTATACTAAACTATAATTATATCCCAAAAATAATCAAGCAGGCACAATGTGAATTTCTAAAATGAAATGAATACAACTCCCCCTGCACAACTCCCACACATGCATCCACAGAAATGCAGGAGGATGTTGCTATCTTCTGTGTATGTCTCTGTGTGTGTGTGTTAATACATGTGCATGAAGGAAGAGAAAGAACCAGTGTTAGTCACCTGGAGCATAAGCACAACACCTTAGTAAACTGCAACTTATTGTAAAATAGCTGATATGGGATGGATGGTGAAACTCCATTAATGATATATAAGAAACTCAAGATAGCCCTATAGGCCTTCTGTCTGGTTATTGTGAAGAAGTGTTGAGCATGAGTACTGAAGAAAAGGGTATTATAGGTAGGGAAGAGAAAAGTTAGGAAGCTTGATTTCATTCAGTCTCTAATTTGCCCAGTTCTATGTTAGTTCCTCCCTAGTTCCACATCAAACTCTAATTCTTCCCCAACCCTTCGTAAGTCCACATGAATGTTTACTCGTGTTTATATACATACCTTAGAAACTGTACTTAGTATCCCTTTTTCTAAATGTAACAATAATTTCTAGCAGGTGCACTCTTCAATTTAATCAATTATGTTGTGCATATTTTTTCAGTATAATCATGCCTCCCTCTCTCCATATACATTCCATAGTTCTTGCACACATTTTTCCCAATTTGAATTAAAACTTCAGAAATGTATAATTTTCAGCAGCCAGCAGAGTCTTCTGGTTATTGTTAGGACCCGAAAATGCACATTGGAAAGTCTGCATTGAGATGTTAAGTGAATGTGTTTCCTTCCCATTATGGTGCCTCCTCATCTTCCCTAGAACTCTCCAAATAAATTCTGGAGGGTTGACCCTCTGGATGACATTCCAGTGGTGTGTGGGAGGTGAGATGCAGGGGAGGAAAGAGGATGCCCAGGCTGTGCACTGAGAGTTGTGCCTCTTTGCTGCTGAAATATTATTATTATTATTATTATTAGAACATTTCTATGCCGCCCCTTGCCGAAATAAAGGATTTCAAACCAACCTTCAAACAGCTGCTGATTCTGAATAATTTCTGAACTGCCCAGAGTCTGTTTTGGTTAATTAGATGATATAATGAATGAATCAATGAATGAATCAATGAATGACTCATTTTGATGGGAACAATAAGTGCCTTAGAGTAATTTAACTTGGAGACTTGTGCAGTATATATTTATGCCAAAGTTACTTGTCTAATTATTTCTGCAGCAGGTGCAAAATAGTGCATCATTTATCTGCATGGCAACAGATGAACTTTTCCTATAGTTAGTGGGGAAAACACATGGAAGAACTGCCAAGGAACATCTCCAAAGTGACCATGTTTGTCTTCTTGCAACTGGATGGAAGGCCCGAACTGCAGGGGTTGACTTTCTGTGTTTTTCTCCTAATTTATCTCTTCACCCTGGCTGGGAATTATCTCATCATTGTTGTCACCTTGACAAATCGCTCCCTTCATACTCCAATGTATTTCTTCCTCAGGGTCTTATCAGTCCTGGACATGTGCTATTCTTCTGTCACCATCCCTAAGATGTTGCTGAATGTATTGATAGAAGACAGCAGCATCTCCTATGTTGGCTGTGCCACCCAGATGTACTTCTTGCTTTTCCTGGGGTCTGCAGAGTGTATTCTTTTAGCAGTCATGGCATATGATCGTTACATGGCTATATTCAACCCGCTGCAATATCTGATTCATATGAATAGGAGAGTGTGCCTTTCATTTTCTTTGCTTTCAGTTGTTGGTGGAAATCTAGTCTCTTTAGTGCAAACTATTTGGGTGTTCACTTTGCCATTCTGTGCTTCCAATAAGATTGATTATTTCTTTTGTGATATTCCTCCATTGATTAAACTTTCTTGTATCAATACTTCCATGTTTGAGATTCAGTTGTTATCAGCCACTGTTCTGGTTATAGTCATTCCTTTTATTCTTATCCTTGTCTCCTATATCCTAATAATTTCTTCCATTCTAGCAAAGACTTCTGATGAGGGCAGATGGAAAACATTCTCCACTTGCTCTTCTCACATCATGGTGGTGATATTATATTATGGGACCAGCAGCTTTATTTACATAAAGCCCCAATATATCTTCTCAGAGGACAAGGGCAAAATGCTTGCTCTGATATATACAACCATCACGCCCATGTTGAATCCTGCTATCTATAGCATCAGGAACAAAGAGGTACAGAGAGCCTTGAGGAAAATGATGGGTAACTGGAAAAAAAATTGCATGGGAACCAATGTTCACATGATGGCCTGAGTTGTAACTTTTCTGGGGGTGACTAAAATGTGTTATTGCTATTACTACTTTCAAAGCAATAAATAATGTTAATATTTTATGTAGAATTTTTTCATGATTATGTTGAATACTATTTTTATGGGCAAATTGGTCTTGACAATGAAGGTCACAGACTTGCAATCAGAAGCTGCATGCCCAAAAACCACAGAATGGGCAGTTCTGAGTTCCCATATAATTAGAAGGCTACAATTAGTTAAGCAGAACAAAGAAACCAAACTCATGACATTTGAATGCATATATCTGCCTTGTGTTACATTCACATGTGTTATATATCTATTATATTACATCCTTTGTGTTAAACTGCAATGTGAAACAGCCAGTCAAAAATAACAAAAACCAGAATGAAATTTTGCATCCCCATTCCCACCATGTATAATGGACATTGAGGTCAAACAATTCATCCCAAGTTACCAATATTGAAAGCATAGTTCATGGGCTGAATGTGTAGAGATGTTGCCCTCCAGATGTTGCTGTTCTTGAACTGCTGTTCTGCAGTTCAACAACATCTGGAGGTTCACATGTTTCCCACCCTTGGTTTAGAAGCAATGGCTCAGACAAAACAAAGGCAGTTTTAAAATCCTTTTGTAAAAGAAATTGCTGTAGTTATGAAACCTACTGTATATAGTCAGGTTTTCATTTCTACTGTCACAATATCTGAAGTGCCACAATTGATTAATTCTTCTTCTTTCTTGGTATGATAATATACATTTAAAAACTTTAAGAATGTAGCTGACTCAGGATTAGAAATTAATCCAAACACAAGTACTGCTGCCCTAGTCTGGTATCCTAAAAATGGCATAAGGCTGCACAGATATTATATACCATGGAAAGCAGGACCAACAAACCAGAATCAGTAGCAAGGAAACAAATACTGATGTACCAATGGCTGAAATCAGGTCACCGTATACACAGCCAGGTTCCTCAACAGAGAAACACTGACTGGCTGACATATAGATACATACAGATGTGCTCAGACAGACAGACACACCCATTTCAGTGAGCTGGGATAGGGAGACTTTAAATTTTCCCTCCCTCTGTCCTGATATCTTGCCATGCAGACTTCTCCTGCTGCTCTTGTTTTCCCTGGGCCTTCCCAGTGAAGGAAGGCCAAGGAGGATTGCTGCCCCCATGCACCTTTTTTCTGTCCCACTGGCGCACTCCTCATCTTTCAGTTCTGCTGGGGAGAAAGACATGAGAGAAAGACCATTCTCATCTCCTTCCTTTCCTTCACAATCCCACTCATCCCAGACCAAACTGAGTGGTGGGCTTGTGGGGGCTTTGAGTTCCTGAGCACTTGTGTCAGGTCACAACTTTGGGGCATCACATGGGCCACTGGTTCTCAACCTGTGCTTTAAAGTGACACATCTCAGTGCTATAATACAGAATAAAAACAACCTGTTATCTTCAGGCAACACATGAAGGCATTTGCACTGCTGCTGTTCATGTGGAAAGCTGGTCATCTGTAGTTTGTTTGTTTACCAAGTTTATGCATAACATGGCTGATAGGTGATCTCAGGGCAGTTTGCCACCATAACAAGGAAAAAAAAAAGGCTGGCCTCATGGAATATTCTGTGAGCCAAATTCTACCCGTATTTAGAAATGCAATAAACCCCCGGTCAGAATTTTGTCCCTCCATAGGTCTTAGGTCTGCAATCTGAATGGAACATGATCAAGTCAAGTAGGTGCTTAATAATGATGGGAAGTAATACTTTGTAGATTTTGAAAAAATAAATAATCTATCCTATATAGAAGAAATGAGATTGGGTTTGTGAAGACTCAGTTACACTAGCAGGGTCTGTGGCAAAGTTTGCAAAGACCGCAGGTTATGTACACAGGCTGAAGTCCAGGGAGCTGAGCTGAGAAAATATAACAGATTCTTGCCTCCAATCCAGATTCTCCATTCATGAGAATAAACTGATAGGTTATATATTGTTGTTGTTACATGCTATCAAGTCAAAAATGTTTATACTTTAATATTTGGAGGAATACATATGAAAATTCATATGTGCAAAGGTTCTAGACAGAATTCATGGTTTGTAGAGGCTGACAAAGTTGCTACAATGGAAAAGTTTGCTTCCTGAAATGCAGGGACACTGATATGGAGACATCCTTCATTGTTGTTTCATGCTGTCAAGTCGTCTCCAGAATGTCTTGTCTGTCAGCCCCACTCAGCTCCTGTAAATTCAAGGTTGTGGCTTCCTTTATTAAATTGATTCATCCCATATTTGGCCTTCCTCTACTTTTCCTTATGACTTTCCCTAGCATGATTGTCTTCTTCAGTGAGTCTCAGCTCTCATGATGTGTTCTAAGTATGACAATCTCAGTCTTCTCATTTTTGCTTCCAGGGCAAGTGTTGGGTCAATTTGGCAACTGTAGGATCCAATTAATGCAATGGTCCTACAGTTGCTGAACTCCTTTGCATCTCCTTTCTTGGGGACTAGAAAGTATGCTGAACATTTCCATTATGTGGGCCACTGTTTTGTTTTCCACATTTGCTGGCCTATGGTTATATACAGTAAGTTAAAGAGTGGCTAACAAACATTAACGCACCTTAGCATCACGATTGTCATAACCATGTGGGTCTAGTCACAGTTGTTCCCACTGAATGTCACCACTTGTATCTGGAACAAATTAGGATTTGCATCTGCCTATATTCCACCATGCTTTCTTCAGAACAAAACTGCCTCTTGTATTTTTAAATAATTACATTTCTATACCTCCCAATAGTTGCAGCCAAATCTATTTATTTTATTTATTTATTTAGGAGACTTCTATGCCACCCCATTCGCTGAAGCCTCGGGGCGGCTCACAACCATAAATAAACTTCAAAATAGAATAATATAAATTAACACTATAAATTAACAATATAAATTAAGTCACCCTGGCCAAAGAATAAAATGAATAAATAATATTAACAATTAATGTTTGAATAAAAAGTTCTTTGCCTGGCGCCGAAAAACAAATAACGACGGTGCCAGGCGGACCTCTCTGGGGAGCGCATTCCATAGATTGGGTGCCACTGCAGAGAAAGCCCTCCTCCAAGTACTCACCCTCCTAATTTCCTTCACGGAGGGTTCTCGGAGAAGGGCCTCTCCCACAGATCTCAAGGGGCGGGCGGACATATATGGACGTAATCTAGATGTAACTTTTAGATATTCTGATAAAACTTAAATGGTGGAAGTTGGATCCAGGATCTGCCATCTGTGAATGGAAGGGTTACACTCATAGAGGTCATGCCCACCTTATGTTTTTCTTTCTTTTTTTCGCTTTTTAGGAGCAGGATTTTTACCTTCTATTTAGCATTTTCAGAGGGCTGGAAGGAGGGGGCTAGGAAATCTGTCCCAAGCCCAGTTTTACACACCCTAACTTTGATCTAATAATGGCCTTCAGATGATGTCAATGTTAGAATGTTGGAAATAATCAGAATGTAAGATAGAAGGATGAGGAAAAATGGGGTGAAAATAACTAGGACAGTTGCTGTAAAGAGCTGTAAAGAAGTGTCAAAGCATGACATTTTAATTAGTGGTGAGATATCACAGAAAAAATAATTAATTTCATTTGACCCACAGAATGGCAATGTGAACACCCAAACTGTCTGAAGTAGAGACGACACACTGCCAATGAATCCTGACAAGATGGTTAGTGAAAGGCAAACTGTCTTGTTCATCATGACCACATACCTCAATGGTTTGCATATGGCAACGTAACGGTCATAGGCCATGGCTGCCAAAAGGAAACATTCTGCAGCCCCTAAGAAAAGCAAGAAGAACATTTGTGTGGCACAGCCCATGTGGGAAATTCTTTTGTCCTCTGATAAGACATTCACCAGCATCTTTGGGAGAGTAACTGAAGAGTAGCAAACATCTAGAAAAGATAAAACCTTGAGGAAAAAATACATTGGTGCACAAAGTGATGGATCCACCATGATCATGACAACAATGAGCATGTTCCCCACAATTATTATTATGTAAACCAATAGAAAAACAATGAACAACAGCAGCTGAAGGTCAGGATGCTCTGCTAAGCCCAAGAGGACAAATGCAGCTCCTCCTGTAACATTCATTGGCTTTGTGGAAAGAGTTTGGGTCCCCTGGAAGAGAAGGAAAGAAGGAAGGAAGGAAGGAAGGAAGGAAGGAAGGAAGGAAGGAAGGAAGGAAGGATGGAAGGAAGGAAGGAAGGAAGGAAGGAAGGAGAGAGAGAGAGAGAGAGAGAGAGAGAGAGAGAGAGAGGGAGGGAGGGAGGGAGGGAGAGGGAGAGGGCGAGAGGGAGAAGATATCTAAACACAGTTTGTGCTATAGACACTTATTTTTAATTTACTGCAATCTCAATGGTTGGATCCAGACTAAGGTACTCGCACTCATTTGCAAGGGGGAAAAAGAGGATGATGCAAAGAAAGGCACAGACACTAGAGCTTGGGTAGAACAAGGACCTCTTTATTTAACTTTGGTGGACTTCCCACCCTTGGATTCACAAGTGCCCTGTGTGGAAGTTTGATTAATGTTTTACAGACAACTAGCCTGTCTATTGAGCAAGTAGACTGGAGGCAGACTAGATTCCCATTCCCTTTGCATAGGTTACATGTGAATATAAGGAGGACCCTCAGTGCCATGCAACTCCAAGTGGGTGAGCTAATCCAAAGCAAAAGTTATCCTGGGCTGAAGACTGCACAACCTGTAACCACCAGGACTTCCCAATAGAGAGTCAGGGTGGTGTAGTGGTTAAGAGTGCAGGACTGGGACTCAAGAGATCTGGGTTCTGGTCCCCGCTTGGCCATGGGTAACTTTGGGGCAGTCACAGACTGCCAGACCAACCTACTTCACAGAGAAAAAGCCTGAGAGCAGCAGGAAAATAATGTAAGCTGTTTTGTTTTCTTTAAAAAAAGAAAAGAAAAAATAAGGCAGGGTATTGATATCCATAAAGGTAATTGTGAGTGCAATCCAATCCTATTTTCTCACAGTTCTCACTCATCTGTAACAAAGCCAGTCATCCTAGTTAACCAGCTCTTGTGCTAAATAATTACACCCAACATTGAGTGGATGGAGGGGTGGGGGATGGGGTGAAGACAGGAGATGCTTGCTCTGACTGGAAGTGAAACTCTTGAGCCTACACAAATCTACAATTTCCTGTTAGGTAATATGGGGTCTTCATTGCCCCTTCCCTTCCTTCAGACTGAATTATGCAGCAAAGGAAACTAGAAACCCCTTGCTTCTCTAAAGGACTTTTATTTCCCACTTTGCTTCCCAATTCTGCCTGGGAAGAAATGGAAATTACAGTGCTTCCCTGCAGGAAACAATGTTCATTTGTATGCTCATTTCTATAGCTTTCAGCTAAGGTCTGTAAAGTATTTCTATTTTTTTAGTGAACTTTACCCATTTCTAATTCTTCTCTTTCCTTTTATTGTGAGAGGGGATATAATTTGGGAATACATAATTTTTGTTGTTATTTTTGTATTGTTCCTCACCATGAACAGAAAACTTTTTTGTAAAAGTATGCACAAGCATGACATGACTTTTCAGTCAAGTCAAATCATGGGAATCACCTATCACCATTATAAAAATAAGAATTTTCTTCATTTTTTATTGTTGACCCTTCATATCCACAATCCAGACTTGTTTCTCACTTTGTAGATGCATTGAGTTACAACAGAATACAAATGCACTATGTGGGGCAATTTGCATACTATAGTGACAAGAGCTGGGCTGTTTTGAACAGGTCTATGTGACAGCAATAATTACACTGTAGCTATAATACTGATGAAATTGGATATTCTTGGAAATAAAGGACACACTTGTGGACATTATACGGACCTCTCCAAAATTTACAGTGTTTCAAACTAAGATATTTGCATGACAAGAGCCTTATGTCTCAGATGTTTCTCCAGTGACAAACTGGAACTCACATCCACTTTCGTAAGTATACCTATTGATCCTATATAGACTGAGTGCCCTCTGTTGTATATGGGCCAGCCCTACCATGAGACAGTATGAAATGATAGCTTCAGACATTAAATGACAGGAAGCATCAGTGACATTCTCCTTGCTTCTCCTGAATGCTTCAAGCTGAATTGATTGGCTGTAGAGTATGCTAGTTGCACTGAGTTCCCACTGAAAGTAATGGGGCATAAGTATGAAATATTCAAATTATTTACTCCATTTCCAACCCATTGTGTGTTGTCCCAGTTAAATGCCTCACTGTCAGATTAATCACCTACATATTTCATGTGGGACAATTGCATGTGGCTCTCCCATGGAAGGTACTTGTCATAATGTGGGTGTGAATCAAAGATGCATATGTACATAATTTCAAACTCCTATCCATAAATTCACTCACTCACTTGAAAAGTCAGATTTAGTGGGACTAGAATTTGGGGTACAAGATCTTAGGAAGTTGAAAAAAAGTATTTGTGCATATGAAATTGAATGCTTGTTGGATATTTTTCCCTCAGATAGCAGAGTTATGGAATTGAGTGAGAAATCTGCAGTTCACAATGTAATCATAGCTATTTTTGCATGAACTAGTCAAACTTTTAAAATTTCCATTGTGTTTTGATGAATAGATTATATATCCCCTTTGAAACTGAAGGAGCTTGTACTTGGGTAATGTAACAAATGTGATACCATATTCAAAACACCTGAGCAAAACTTGAACAGAAGCGACTTAAATCCCTACCAGATAAAATAAATAAAGGAGTATGACTCCTGATCTTCTTATAATTTTATCTTCATGACCTACCCAAAGTTAAACACTTTTAAGACCACGTAATTTAAGAAGAGATATTGAAGTGCATGTTTAACTGTCCCATGAAGTAATTGGGAGTTAATAGTGCCCATTTTTGTGAAGACTGTCCTATATATATATATATCATCACTAATTAATAATTTAATGCACCCACACAAATACACACACACATTGTTCCGCAGAAAATCAACTGCCTACACGTAAAAATGTGCTGTATTTTAGCTTCAGTAATCAATAAAATTAAACTACTAAACCAGTGGATAGCCATGTAGAATAAGCCACTTGGTTCTTTCTCTTTTCAAGTTTATATGAATCATTCCACTTACCACTTGCAGCATAATGAAAACAAACGCTCACCAGCACAGATGTCCCTTCTGAGGAAATTTCTCAAATAGATGAAATCGTGTTCAATCAGAAAGGCAAAGTGGCACAGCCAGATGGCTGTTATGTTATGTTGCCTTTCATTCAAAATGGAAGAAAAGGTGGGAGGGAACCCTCCAAAAGTTGGAGGGGGTAGTTTTTGCTTGCCACTATGTTTCTAGAAGTGCAAGACAAATTTATATGCTTTCCATCAAACTCTCAGGGCTGTCAGCTGATATATACTCTCCATCTGGAGGATGGACAGATTGTTTTCAGAGAATTATTTCAGTCTGTTGACTAACCCAAAGGAACAGAGCAGTGCAAGAGCCTGGGGATTTCTAGAGATTCGCGGAGTCCTGATACCTATTCTATATTCAAACTATAATAGTTAATTATTCGAATTATATAATTAATTAATTTTTGCAAGTTGTTCCATGACTATTTCCTATTTTGAGGGACAATTTCTAGTTTCACTCTTGAGTGTTCTAGCCTACCATTGGCAAATATCTATTGATTATAAATACCGATTATTGTACAATTACCCCAGTAATTGTATTGACCATTTAGAAATTTAAATATTGTTTTTTCCTGTAATTAGTGCTTTGGTCCTAAAAGAGATTGCTCCCAAGCTCTCCTCGCCTTCAAAATCATTCAGACTGCTGATTTAGCCATCTAAATATTTCCCACTTTCCTTTCAAGGGCTGATGCATTACCAAGATCTGGCAGTGATCTCCCTGCTATGAAGACAGGGTCTTCCATCTAAATTGGATTAACCTTATTTATTGTAGAAACTTCAGCAATTTCCCAGAATGCACTTTTTGTCAAGGAAGGAAAAAGCAGAAAAATTGAATGGGCCCATTCAATGGACTAGATGATTGACTTTCCTTGAAAATCCTCCTGGAAGCTGGCTGAATTCTGTTCATTGAACTTCTCCATGTGCTCAACCTTGACATAGGAAGTGAGCTAAGAGGAAGCCCTGTAACACTAGCAGAAGTCCTCCTGCATAATAGACAACCTTCTCCCATAGCATGGAGGCAGAAGGGGGATGCTATGTGTACTGTGTTCACATCAGATTCACAGCTGCAGGAAAGCAGGCCAGAGTTTGGGGAGCTGAGCTGAGGAAATCCACTGAATTCCTATCCCCGGAGTAGATTCCTCACAAATTAGTAACTGCCACAGTTGGAAGGGAATGTTCTTTGTTTATGAGCAGCGCATCGTAGATGCAGTTTATAAACCTTTTGACTACTCATAATGCTAAATAGAACCTGATGTACCCAGGAGCGTCCATGGACAATGGTCAGGACTGCTTGTATCCAAAATACCTGGAGAAAAGCTACTAATAAAAGAAGGCTATGATTACATCCCTTGAGATCCCTTTCACTTTGAAAGAACTTTTCCAGAAGCTCTTTTGTACCCTCACACAGAAAAATGATGCAAGACACAGGGTCTGGACAAACATAGAGCCACAACTTTATTCCTTTTGACAGAAATGAAATTGGACAAATGGATGGATAAAATGTGCCTGTTTCTGATGAGCAAACTGTGAAAGTGTATTTTAAGAGAGAAAATACATTTTTCAATTGATCACAAGTTGGAGAATGTGTGAGAGCTTTCAGAAATAAATGTTTGTGCTGGTACTTCCCTGATGATCTATTGAGCTAGTCCAATCAGAGGTTCAAAACCTCTTTCTACACTGACATGTTTTACAGCATTGACTTGAGAATTGCAGAGTTCCATTCTTTCAACCACTGTGTTCCAACAAATGGTCTTTGTGAAGTCTTTGGCTGAAGCAGGGACTTACCACCTTCTGAGATGCCCCATGTGGAAGAATCACCAAGTATCTAAAGTTCTCCAGGCATATGGAATGCAACTAAGAAAATTTCAGCACTGTAACTTGAGAATCCTAGTGCATATTTTAGCATTATACTTGTAAGATGTGGGGTGCTTTATAAGGTTCTACATTCTTTCTATCTTTACCACAGTGATTCAAGCAATCCTATAGAGCCAGGATACACAGCATCATGCCATGTTTTATCTTCACCTAACTTGAATTATTTTCTTCAGGGCCTCTTTCACCTCTTTATTGCGCAGGCTGTATATGAGGGGATTGATCATAGGAGTCAAGACAGTGTAAAGGGCAGAGAAAACTTTGTTCAAGCACCTCAGTGCCTGTGTGTCAGGCAACATATAGACGATTATCAGGGACCCATAGAAAATGGTAACTACAATGAGATGGGATGAACAGGTGGAAAAAGCCTTTTTCCTGCCTATGGAAGAGGAGATTCTCAGGATGGTGGCCATGATCCAAACATAGGATGTCATTGTCAAGAGGAAAGGGGGCAATGTGAAAATGCAAGCAATCACGAATGCAAAGGTAACTATTCCCTGAGTCTCGCTGCATGCTAATTTCAGCAAGGGGTTGAAGTCACAAAAGAAATGTCGATTTCATTCTGCCCACAGAAGGTCAGCTGCAGCAGTGGAAATAATACGGCATTTCCTAGAAAGCCACTTATCCAGGATGCAGCCACTAAACAGAAGCAATTCCTGGTCCTCATGAGGGACGTGTAGTGCAAAGGTTTGCATATGGCCAAATAGCGATCGTAGGACATTGCAGACAAGAGAAAACATTCTGTTGCAGCCAGGGAACCAAAGAAGTACATCTGTAGAAAACAGCCTGTGAGAGAAATGGATCTGTCTCCAGTCACGCTGCTGGCCAGCATCCTGGGCAGGATGGTTGAACTGTAGCAGGTCTCCAGGAAGGACAAATTACCCAGGAAGTAGTACATTGCTGTGTGTAAATGGTGATCAGTCACAACAAGTGCAGCAATGAGGATGTTCCCAACAATGGTCATCATGTATATAATCAAGGCCATGAGAAAGAGCAGGATGTGAAGAGCTGGGGTATCTCCAAATCCCAGAAGGATGAATTCTATAACCACTGTTTGGTTTTCCAACACCTGTGTTTCCATAGGAAAAGTCTAGAAAAAAGTAAAGTTAGTGTTAAACATACTGTTTCATATTCAAAGGATTTATCTTGAAATTTGGAGATGCGGGAAAAATTCATTTCAGCTCATTTATGTTCCAACTTCCCCAGTTTGCAGCTCAAGAACCTGCACTTATACACAGTCTGAAATATGAAGCCCAGATATTCTGGAGCCTGCAATGCAATTCACTCAGTAACAGCAAATATTTGAAAAATGAGAAAATGTGAAATAGGTAAACATTGGAAATATGGGCAGGAACACACTGGTGTCACTGGGGAAAAGAAGTGTAGTTTTAGAACTGATATATACATTTGGATTTAAAAAGAGTAAGGAAGGAAGGAAGGAAGGGAGGAAGGAAGGAAGGAAGGAAGGAGTGCATGAAGATATGAGCACATTTTCCTATGATCCCTGTCACCTGCCCCCACCCCAGGACTCACAGTCCCATGCAGCAGGAATAGGGTGATTTCAATAAGATCCAGTTTTACAGATTTTCACATCCCTGTATGAGAGATTTTCATCTTCTAACCAAAATAAATCAAATAATTTCCTTGGAAAATGCTTCACAGCACTGTTTTGTCCTGTGAAACATTTTTATGGAATAGCATACGATTTCTTGAAAACCAATAAATTTTGCCAGTTTATATGTGCACCATTGTGGTAAAGGTGTTAATTAAGGGCATAATTAGTAAGTGGTGAAGATTGTTCCTGCTGAGACTTAGGATATTCACTGTGTACCCAAAAGCATCTGAGTTCAGAGACTTATTTGCATTTGACTATACCCTTAAATACTTTTGTAAGTGTGATTCTTAGCTCATTAGGCAACAGGTTACAAAAATTTAAAATTTGCAAAACTATAGAAATGAATAGTCAACTATCATAAATCTCATTTATTGTTGCTTGACTTGCAAATTATTTTCTACATCCATAGATTTAAAATTTCTCTCTCTCTCTCTCTCTCTCTCTCTCTCTCTCTCTCTCTCTCTCTCTGCAAGTGCACACGCACACACATGTATCTACTTTAAATACTACTTGGACTTTATCATTTGATGCAACAATAATGTTTACTACATCACAAAAAATGCATCTGTTTCTTTCTCCAGTTATTGGATACTGATTGGAAAGTTTCCAATTGGCATGTCTTCCTTCTGACATGACTGCACATCCTGAAAGTCAATTTGAACTTAAGTTACATTAAGACTGTTTCTGAAGAGCTTATCACTATTATGTAGCACAGTTTCGGATTTCCTAGAAGTATGTCTGTTTCCTTAGAGAAGGACAAGTGAAAAAACTCTCTTGACAAATTCCTTCCTTCTTTTCAAATTGCCTCCATCTCCTTAGAAACGTATCACTGAAACACCCTTGCACGTTCATTTCATACAAACGTGATAGTCATGAAAATGAGTGTGGATCTCATATATTTGCTGTGTGAAGTAGAAACCAACTCCCCTTCCCTACCAGAGCCAACCCTTGAAAATCTCTTGCAATGTTTTTCAGATACTAATTTCTGTCTTAATGTAATTCTCCCCTACTGTCTAAATCAGTGTTGCCATAACTCAGTCACTTTCCTGCTGCATTTCCGGTGAGAAAAACTTCATTTTGTGTTAGAATCATTTTTGGGAGGGTGCCTAAAAAGATACTAAACAGATGGTGCAGTGCAAAATCTGTCCATTCATTTATTTAATTTTCAGTAAGAGATAAAACAATTAACTGAAGCTGAGGATATCAATAGAAACATAGAAACAGAGTGAGTCAGAAGGGGTCTCCTGGGCCATCTAGTCTGACCCTCAGCTCCAGCCGGCTCTGCTCATGACATGCCTACCATATCCTACAATTACTGTCTTCTAGACAATATCAAACACTGTTCAGTGATTGCAGATATCTCCACTTAGATAATGTTCATAGTGAAAAATAATACTCCCTCTACCTTTTTCTGTCAACACAGTTCTTTTCAAATATATGGCTCTTAAAATGAGTTGATTCAGCTTATGAGTAAGAATGGGTGGGGAAATATTGTCCAGTTCACATTTCATACTTTTAAATCCACATTTTATAGGTTCAAATTCATTCCTCCCAAATCTAAGTTTGAACGAGAATGCAGGTTTCCCTAGAAATCTGTACCACTGTGACATATGTGATGGTGTGTGCTGAAAACAGAAAAAGTAATACACAAAAGTGCCAGCTCCTCTGCCTCCACCTGCCACAAAGAAAAGAAAACCTGCTGATTAACAACAACTATAATGGCTAACAAATTTACCAGACTCATAAACTATCAGAGGTGGTTTGCCATGCAACTCCTTCAGATTTCCCCCACCTATTCTGACCCATAGTCAACTCAGTTCTTTTTGTCCCTTTCTAACAACAGAATTTCTAACAACAGATTTACCAACATAAAGGATACTTACTGTTAGGTCCAAGGACACCTCAAATGACTCCTTTGTCAAGGATGATTCACAGTGTATTGAATGCAATTGTGGAAAATGGATGCAAATATAAATCATCAAGCAAAAGATCTTTACATTCCACTTCTCAGTGGCCTGTTGGCTCCCCTGAATCGGTCAGGGGATGCCCTGTGAGCTTCCTAAGCAACTATCAACACAGCAATTCCAGGCTGAGAACAAAAGGCAATTATTGTTCCCATATATTGTTCAAGACTTCTCTCTTCCACTCTTGCAGATCCTGCCAGGAGGTGACTAAGCTTCTCCCTGTTTTTCCTGGGGATGGAGTGTCTTTGCTAAGGCAAACAAGCTTATCTACAGAATGACTGGGGCCCTGGTGTTCTTATTTAGGCCTTGACACATGTTCAAGAAATTATTTTGGCTTTTGGACACTAGAAAAGTACACTATTATACCTATTGAACCTCTGTGACTTCCTCACCATTCTTCCAGTAGAGCTTGAACAAAACAAGATGTTAGAATACCAGACTGAGCTTTGAGAGCTGTTTTTTTGTCTCCATTGGGCATGAAGGTGGCTTTGGGCCAGTTTCTGATTCTAAGTCCATCCTACGTAGTTCACAGAAATGTAGTGAACATAAAATAAGTAAGAGAAAGACAGCTGGATCCCACTGTTTACGTTCTTCCATTGCAAACATTTGCCATTTTTCTTGCCCTCAGCTTTCTGTCCTTTAACCAAGTACTGATGAGAAAACTTCTCTTATTCCAGAACTGCTAAGTTTGCTCAGGTGTCTTGGTGAAGGACACTAGTAAATGCCTTTAAAAGGTTAGTGAGATAGGACCTTACCTTTGCTGAAGCCACATTGATTCTTTTCCAGTAAGGCTTGTCTGCTTGCTTATTTTATCTTTAAGCATACTTTCAATCAATTCATCCAGAATAGATGTTAACCTGTAATTGCCCAGATCTTCCTTGGATACTTTTCTTTCTTCCTTTTTCTAAATAGCATTATATTTATCATTTCATTTTGCAAACTAGTCCCTGCCTTACTTAAGTTGTAATGGGCTATTAAAGGCCTCCTTTCATGATTATTTAATCTCCGGGGAAAGAGATGAAATCTCAAGAAGTGTTTGCTAATTGGAAGAAGGAACACTGAAAATTAGTTGTAAATTACGATGAGAAATTTTGTGAAAATCTGAGTTTAAATTGAAATAGCAGGGGAATCTATTATGTGCAAAGGCATCTCCAACAATACCCTGAAACACTTCACACATGTATGCACATCATTTTAATAGCAAATTTTGGAAAGTGTCTTAGAAACCACTAAAAACATTTTTTCTAGTCATTCTTCAACTCTGTAAAATTAGTGCCACCAACTAGTGACTGGTTCTGTGGACATAGTATGACACAAACTCTCTGCCCTCTCTCCAATAGTATGGACATGCCTTGTTTCATCTTCTAGCAGAATTATATTTTGTTTAAAATACATACCCTTAAAATAACCTGTTTACTATTGCCCAGAATGATGGGTAGATGAAGATGCAGCCAAGCTGAAGGTATCTTTAAGGAACTGCATGTTACCAAATGTACTTTAGATCATGCATAACTGTTTTCATGTTCCCATATATACACAATCATCAAGCTCAACAAAGGTGTTTATGCATTGTTCATAGTATATGTATGGCTAAGAGACTCAAGGATCTCTGCACATAATGCCCACTTGAAAGAGTGAACTCATGACCCATCTGTTTCAGTATTTATTTCATTTGTTTCTAAAAGAAATCCAGGCTAATTCTGGATCTAACCCAAAAGGAAATGAAGTAACAACTAGAGCTGTACACTGATGGCCTCTCTCAAAATTCTCCAGAGTAATGAGATGGCAGAGGAAGGGAAACTGCCATCAAATTTCCCCAGAAGGAAGATACCTGCTCAACAGTTTCTCATAGGTAGGCTTCCCCATTGGAAGGGTCTGTGGCATGGCTTTCTTCTCCACTACCTTTTCCTTTTTACAGCTTCTGGTAGTTGCTCCCACAAGGGACAACAACATTAACCATGCTGATGGGCCAACCCCCATTTTGCATTCATATTGAGTGGGAATGGTGAAAAATAGTGTGGGAGAAAGACACATCACTGCTCTTATGCAATGATACTCACCACAAGAGAAGTTTCTACTGCCAGCAGAGGACACTCCCTGTCTTATTACAGTAGAATTGGAAGGAGTCAAGCACAAGCAGAAAACCAAAGAGAAACAGTCTGGAATGAGGATAGCCAACCATCCCTAAGACAATTGCTTCGGCGAATGGGGCGGCATAGAAGTCGCTTAAATAAATAAATAAATTGCTTGGGCTGATACAAATTCCTTCTGAAAGAACAGGAGTTCAAGGCCTAGAAGAAGTAGCACTGGGAGACAGTTGCATACAAGTTGTACTGCTATGCAATTATTAGATGAAATCTCTGGCACCCAAATACACCAGTGTTTGGGTGCATGCCTGTACATGTGTGTACATGTGTGTGAGAGGAAGGGAGGGAGCAAGAAGGGGAGATGGACTGATGCTGCTTACATCTGTCACTGAGACAGGTAGACACATTTCCTTTTGAGTAAAATTTATCTCTCTGTTCTGTGCTATAAAAAGTGCAAATGCTTGTAAAGGTTAAAACCTCTACCTGAGTATCTACTAACTGAGTAATCAGACAAATTCAGCTATGATTCAGCATACTGAGTGATCAAATTTTGGAAAATCAACTGCTGGTTATCCATAGGTTTCCAGACTCTCCATCTCTGAATGTGTGAGTGTGTGTGGGTGAAAGTATTCAGTTTTAGGTCCTTCCATTCCCATAATCAATATTGGTGCAAGGTACTGGAAGGCCTCCAGGTAAGACATGCTCATGGGGACATGCTCACTTTCTCTCCACAAACTGACTTAAGTTCCAGCATGGATGCTGTGGCATCTTCTGCTCCTCTGTCTTTCATAACTCCATTGTCTTGGTCAGAGGGAAAGGATGGTAGAAAAATCTGTTGACAAGAGTAAGTTCAGAGGCCTCCAGGTGGGCTGTGAGCCCACAACCATGCTCACCATGTCAGCCTTTGATGCCAAACCTCCTTTTAGTTTCTACTGAGCAAGTGTGATGAACATCCCCTGTTGGCTTTTCTTAAGAACTCCATGGGTAAAATGGCTCCCTTCCCTTCCCCTCTCTCTCTCAGACTCTCTTGCTCTCTCCCTGTCCCTCACCCACTCTACCTCTCTTCTCTTCTCTTCTCTTCTCTTCTCTTCTCTTCTCTTCTCTTCTCTTCTCTTCTTTTTGTTAATTACATCTGAACATTTAGAGAGGAAGCTGGCAATATTACCCAAGGGTGGAAGTCATAATTCCCATGATTGCTCAACTCTGGGATTAAAGACTTTAATCCCTCCTATGTGGATTTACAGTAGAATTTAAGTTTCTGATAATTCATTGAGATTGCCTTGTTTATCTTCTGCTCATAATGATAGAGAATTACCAGAGACACTATTTTGCAAAAGCATGAGATGCGAAATGTGTGATAGAGTTTAAAAATTAAAAAAAGGTAATAAATGGAAAAGCAGACTCATTGAACAAGTTCAAGGATATGAAGAGGAGTGCAAAAGTCACGCAGCAGAAATTGCTCCCAAGACCAGCACTCAGAAAATGGACCCTCTACCACACTCAGTTTACTCATAGCAGAGGTATGTACAAGACTGCCTTGCTCATAAAATACCCATAATATTTCTGTGGTTGTAGGCTATGATTTCAGCTAAAAGTCAGTAGGATGAGTATAGAACTTCAAATTTATATGTTTAAATGCATGCAGATGTAATGGGAGTTATTTGCAGAAAATAATACTATCTGAAAAATATACGATTAAGAATTCCTCATGTTATTGAGAAGTAAAGAAGCCCATGGCAGCATCGAATGCTTTCATTTTCTTTGTATGAAAGAGCACTGAGAACAAATCCGTGTGATCGTTCAGTCATGACTTAACTTCCATTGATTTCAGTGAGAGCTAATTGCAATTAACTTTGGATCCACCCTGTGGTGTCTTCTTTGCAATGCCTGTTGCAGTGCAACATCTGCAGGCAGAACATGTTTAGGACAATCAGATTCTTGAGGAAGGAAGAACAACTGAAATCCTTCATCAGGCTCCAAGGAGGGGAAGTCCACCTCAGATTTTATCAACCAACTCACACCTATTCCCCCACACTCAGTATCTCTGCCAACGTTCAGGCTGTTATCATAAGTCTTCCTGTTTGTTTTTCAGTCTCTGCTCTAAACCCTGAAGGTGGCTACATTTCATCAGGAACATTAAATAATTCAGTCTCTGTGTTAAGTACCCTATTCAATCAGCTAGACAGAACTGCAACCACATTGACCCATTCTTGTGAATCAAGAATCGGGAAAAAAAAGCAAGCCAGCATAATAGCATATTAGATGCTGGTGAGTAAAATTATTCTCATTTAATTTTGTTCTAGATTTTGGAGGTTCTATTAACCAGGTCTTGTTTCTAAAGTTGAACTGATTCATTGAGAATTCTCCATTGTTGCATAAAACAATAAAAACTATGCTGTAATAAAGACAAATATCCCTTTGACTGGGGGGAAATGCACACAGAGTCTTGATGTACTTGTACTCTGATACATTTATCTCTTGGTTATCTTTTTGGGCATTAGGTTACACACAAACTTAGAAACACTTGAATCAATATAGCTTATATTAGTCATGACTAAACTGTCCTATTTATTCATTGGGTCTACTAATTCAATCTGGATCTAACCAACTGATGTATTTTACACGAACACATGTGTTTGTTTATTTTTTAATCCCCACAAATGAGATTTGATAGAAGTTAATGTGGGGGTTTGTCAATGTTATTTTTGTTTGTGTTGTTTTAACAATATTCATGACTGCAGGTAGGTGCTGATAAAATGCCATTCAGAACTAATCTAGATGTAGTCACATGATGAAACAAAGATTTATTTTACACTGGTCTTAAAACACAGGAGTTTAAGGAAATTTGCTCCTCCAAAGATAGGATTTGGAGTTTGCTTGTTTAACTGTTAGGAATCACTCTTCATTCAGTGATGTGTGCCTGTTTAACTTAGCTAAATGGAAAGGGTTGATGTATCACTCTATTTCAATTTGTAGGTATGTTTTATCACATTTCTTCACTGATCTGTTAAAAAGTAAGTGCATCAAAAACAGATTTTAATATTTATTTTAAACCTATTTATATAAGTGATCATTTCTAATTTTTAAATACACATTTATATAAACAAAACCTAAAGAATATCTATTTGCACACATATCTGTTTGTTTTTATCTGACAAAGGTGTTGAAACATCTAGAAAGTGAAAAAAGTAGTTGCTAACTACATTCTGATTCACACAGGGACAAGTGGATTAGATATTTCAAATCAGAGTACACACCAAAATTGTGGTAGTGCAGTGGAGTGGTTAGACAGTGTAGCTCTGGTTCCCAGTTAGCTACAGAGCTCACTGGGGGACTCTGGGCCAATCACTGAGTCTCAGTCTCACATGGTTGTTATTAGGGCAAAATGAAGAAGAGGCGGATCATATGATATTATTTGGTTCCCTGAAAGTCAGAGAGAGGAAGGGAAGGATGGGATTACAATGGAATGATAAATAAATATCAAGAAGGGGATATTCTTTAGATGTATCTTCTAAAATTCATGTATTGCTGCCCAAGCCTAAAAGTAGTGAATTAGATAATGGACAGCTTTGTATATTGCTATCGTGAAAGAATGCTTGTGATGTCTTCATTTAACTGGGGGCATGATTATGGAGTGACCCGAATCAACTTTGTATCATACTATTTCAATAATACTTGTCTGTTTCACAGCCTGCTAGAGAGTTTCAGTACTCATTCCACTTTCGCCTTTAATCCTGGTATATTACTGAGATGCTGACTACAAACAACTTTCATTCAACTTCCATTTCAGGGTGAAATATGACCTCACTGTGTGCATCTGTTGCCAAAATGCAAAGGAACCAGAGCGAAATCACGGAATTCATCCTCCTGGGATTTGGGGACCTCCATCGCCTGCAGATCTTCCTGTTCCTGGGATTTTTGGTGATCTACATCTTTACCATGGTTGCCAACATTCTCACCATCTTTCTGATAGTGATTGATCAGCATCTTCACACACCTATGTACTTCTTCCTGGGGAATTTGTCAAGCTTAGAGACATTCTACAGCTCAACCACCATTCCCAGGATGTTGACTAGTTTCTGGACAGGGGACAAAACTATCTCTGCTAAAAGTTGTTTCACACAATTGTATTTCTTTGCTTTTCTAGTTGGGACGGAATGCTACCTCCTCTCTGTCATGTCTTATGATCGCTTCTTAGCCATATGCAAGCCTCTGCATTATGCAACTCTTATGACCAGTAAGCTCTGTAGACAGTTAACAGGTGGCTCTTGGATCAATGGCATTACATTTACCTCTGTGTATTTAGCCTTGATACTGCAGCTACGGTATTGTGGTACCAATGAAGTTGACCATTTCTTTTGTGACTCACTTGCACTGCTTAAAATATCATGCAGTGACACCAGTCTTGTGAAGTATGCCAGCATAATCTTGAGTTTTGGATTCACTTTCCCCCCTTTCCTTTTGACCCTGATCTCTTACATATATATCATCACAACCATTTTAAAAATTTCATCAACCACAGGGAGGCAAAAGGCCTTTTCCACTTGTTCTTCTCACCTAATTGTTGTTTCTATTTTCTATGGGGCGTTAATTATTGTGTATCTGACACCACAAACCAAAGCAGTGAAAGACCTGAGCAAAATATTTTCTCTGTTGTACACAGTTCTTCCTCCCTTAATCAACCCCCTTGTCTACAGCCTGAGAAACAAGGATGTCAAAGAAGCCTTAAGGAAAGCTGTCAGAAAGGTTTTCTGAATTGTGAATTGGTGATTCAAAGTCCACTGTTTTTTTTGGATTGAAATACAACCAAATATATAAATAAATGTATATATAAGCATATTCCTGTGTAGGATGTGCCCAGCGATTCTTAGGATGCCTCTGCTCCTAACACATGATATTATCTCCTCCTGAACCTGGTAAACTAATGATGCTTATGAGGATGAGGATACTAATACAGTTAAAATCACAATGTATGTTTCTAGGATAGGATACTTGAAAGGGTTAAGGTCATGACTGCTTAACTATTTGGTTTGTCAATAGTTGCGTTTTTCAAGAAGTTTAAATGGACTTCCTAAATATTTGTGGAGGCTGTGCCTGTAGCTCTCCAAGCAATCGTATATCTGTCTACTGAGAAGCAGGCCCACTATGTTCAGTGTGACTTACTCCCCAGTGTGTATAAGATTGCAACAAAAAGTGTAATCTTAGGTATGTCTACTGGGAAGTTTCCTTAATTTCTAATAGGACTTACTCACTGGTAACCATGTGCAATAAATAGAGTATACATCTTTCATACAGCATAAGTAACATACCAATGGCTCACTACCATACCTGGCCCATTTTACTAGACTAATGGAAATTCTTAGGGTTTCCCTTAAAATCCTGCATAATTTGCTTTAGGGTTGCACCATGAGCATACACACAAACACTTCTACAAATGGTTTCCCTGGAATGGAACCCAGGGTCCAAATTTGGGACCCATTTTCTGATGGCCTAGAGCCAAATTGAAGAGGAAACACAAGCATTCCAGAGCTTCTGCAAATTATGGTAAATGGGGGACTGGGTGCATGATGGCAAAAAGATCTTATTGCTCTTCCTTGTGCACCATGGCTGGCTGCCATGCCACTAAGTGGAGACTCACTGTTGCTGGCAGCTTAGCCCAAGAGCCTCATCATTTCTTAAAAGCCTTAGAATTTCCTTGAAGAAAAACCACCAAATACTTTGATGTTGATATAATAGAGGGAGTTCAGAATCCCCAGTTCCCTGATGAATCCTGCTAGTGTTCTTTGGCTGTCTGGGAAATTCCTCAGAATTTTCACCTGAGGAGAAACTGCCAAAGTTGCTTCAGCTTCTACATTTATTTGAAATTCAGGTATCCCTGTAGCCTTCAAGTATGCTTTAACCTTTTGAAATCTATCATGGTGCAAAGGAATATTACAGCTTTTGTTGTTCCCCCAATGCATTCTCTATAAAAATAATGACAAATGGAAGGGCTTGGGCTTAGGCTTCGGGGTTAGGAGTCTATAACCAAAGACACTTAACCAAAGTTTTCTCTTCATTGGAAATTAGACTAAAGGAAAGAGACCTTTCATGAATGGAAGCCAAAGAGAGCCAGTGCAGACAGCATTGGATCCCATCCAATGACTAGGGCAAAATATCCTCTGTTTTAGCAGAAGACTTTTATGCATAATTTTGTCTATGCATATGAAAGACTCATACGAGTCCTGAGTCCTGTACTCTTGGAAATACAGTCATTCAGACATTCATTTGAATACCCCAATACTATTTTGGTTTGTGTTGCTTTTTCTTTTTGGCTAATGCTGTTATTCATAGTGAATTGCCAGCAGTTCCCTGCCGAAATACCTCTACTTTCTGGAGGTTTAATGATCCCCAGTGGGAAATCTTTTTTATTTATTTTTTTGAGAAGACATGATACATAAAGCCTAATCTGATGAATCTACAATGACTAAGAAAGAGAGGAGAAAAACCTGATTCCACAGACCAAGAAAACTTCAGTGAACTAGTTATCCATGCTGGAGGTATTTATGGCCCAGTTTTCTTCTTGTTACCTGTATGCATGATGATTAGAAATATACATGATTGTCAGCCATGATGTGGTTTCTTTATACCATTGACAAAGATATTTTCATTCCTAAAAAAATGAACATAGATGTCTTTTATCTGTTTGCAATGTAATGTCATTTTGCTTAGATGATCTGGTTCCAAACTTGTGTGATAATTATGTATTTTTAAAATTGTAAATATAATGTTTTCTGTAAAAGCAATAAATAAATAAATTAACAAACCCACTAAACAAAAAGGGAAATATACATCAGAATTGAAAAGCTATATAGTTTCTCCTTCCAAAATGAAGCACTGAAGAATTAACATAGTGAATTCTTCCTCAAGAATTTATTCAACCTTATATTGCTTTACTAAAGGTGAAACTAGGCAGGGTACCAAATCCATTATAGGCAGTCTTGTTATCTGAAACAGCAGGCTTGGGGATTTTTAAAAATAGGAAATGCAGTGCACAGTGAGGGGAAGTTTAATCTTTTTCTCTCCTGCAATGGCCATAATGAAAATCACAACCCACAAAACCTGCTTTTAGCTCTGGAAGTAAATTTCCCATTGCCACCAGTGGAGAATTTCATTCCTGTGCTAAAGCCAATCTCGGTGTGCACTTGTTTTTGTTTCTAATACATCAAAGACTGGTGGGTAAGAGAAAAGAGAAAGGTTTCCACCTCCAAACACTGTCTCCTGCTTTTTCTTTTTCAGTTGGTGTCATCCCCAGTGACATGTTCAGTGTGATGACTAGAATGGCCCTTTGTCTGTAGTATGGAGGATGCAAGAGACATCATGATGCCTGGGCAGACTGCCCCAAGATACAAGCACCTGCACAAGGATCAACAGAATCCTATTTCTCCTACATGTATGTATCCCTTTATAGCTCTCAGAACTTCAGCAAATGCTGTTGGATGAGAACGAAAACTGGGCCCTTTATGACCTGTGCAGACATGCATTGTGCAGTATTAGTTTTATTTTTCAGACATTTCAAATAGACTCTCTCAAACTGTATGACAACTGCTTTTGCCTGCAGCTTGTTATGCCAGATAAATTTGAGGAGCAAGCTGCCTCAAAAGGGGGTGCTTGCCCACCAGATTCTCCTGAATGGTTTTCAACCATTTGCTGAGGTTTAAACACAGTTTCAGAAAGAACACAACCTAGCTTTGCTTTCACATGCACTCACAACACTTAGAAAGGGAAGAGAAGTTTATTCAGAATACATGCACAAGTGTGCGTGCGTGCACACACACACACACACACACACACAGAGAGAGAGAGAGAGAGAGAGAGAGAGAGAGAGAGAGAGAGAGAGAGAGAGAGAAGGTCTTAGCCCAGTTTTGCCTAAGAAGCAAATGTTTCTATAACATCCTGGTCATCTTTCTTTCTAAAGGGATAAAGAGCTTCCTGCCTAGAAAAGCTCTTAGCCTAATGAAAGTTTCCTTCATACATTTATTCATCTTCTAATAAGACCGTGATGAGGGTTCCTCCCTCCCAAAATACAAAAGTACTAAGAACTACACTCACTTTGGTGTATCCTGTTCAAATATTCTTTCAGAACTTTATATCATTTCACTATGAATTTCTAACATCATAAACACCATGTGGAGGAACCAGAGTGTAATCACAGAATTCATCCTGCTGGGATTTGGAGAACTCCATCATCTGCGGATCTTCCTATTCCTGATTTTTCTGGTGATATATATTTTGACTATGGCTGCCAACCTCCTCACTCTTCTTCTGGTAGTGACTGCTCAGCATCTCCACACCCCTATGTACTTCTTCCTAGGAAACCTGTCCTGCTTGGAGACTTTCTACAGCTCAACCATCCTCCCCAGGATCCTGGCTAGCCTCTTGACAGGAGACAAGAGTATGTCTGTGAAAGGATGCATTACACAGCTGTACTTCTTCGCTTTCCTTGTTAGTACAGAATGCTATCTTCTCTCGGCAATGTCCTATGATAGATATTTAGCTATATGCAAGCCTCTGCATTATACAACTATTATGAACAGTAGGCTCTGTATTCAGTTAGTTCTTGGCTCTTGGCTCAACAGCATTGTGTTTACCTCTGTATTTTTGGGTATGGTTTTAAAAATACAGTTCTGTGGTCCTAATGAAATTGATCATTTCTATTGTGACTCCCTCCCACTAGTGCAGCTGTCCTGCACTAACATCAGCCTTGTGAAAAATGTCACAGTAATAGTGTCTTTTGTGTTCACATTCCCTCCTTTTCTTTTGACTCTGACCTCTTATGTATATATTATCACTGCCATCTTGAGAATCCCATCAACCACTGGGAGACAAAAGGCATTTTCTACCTGCTCATCTCACCTCATTGTTGTCTCTATTTTCTATGGGGCGTTAATCATTGTATATCTGCTACCAAAAACTGAAACAAGAGACCTCAATAAATTTTTTTCTGTCCTCTATACAGTCCTTCCTCCCATAGCCAATCCTCTCATATACAGTCTGAGGAACAAGGATGTGAAAGCAGCACTGAGAAAGGCTGTTACAAAAGTTCTGGAAGGACAATGTGTAAATATGGCATTTAAATGTAGGTGGTCTGTTACATTTCACAAATAAACTTGCAAAAGATAAATGACTTGTTTAGTTATAGTTATGACCTCTCCCTTTTAATAGCATCAGTTAAGGTAGAATACAACTGTAATTGCAGTACTTTATCAAGGTCAAACTCATTGGGATCATTGTTTTTCTGCCTTCTGTTGCCTTCTCTTCCTGCCCTGTATGAACTTTTTGTTTCTTCTTCCTTGCATAGAAAAGTTCGTATATACAGTTTTATGTGCACACATTGACTAAAATGTATCTGTGAATTTTAGAAATGTATGGAAAAATGTATGCAAAGGTACACATGCTTCTGACAGATGCTGTCCGCTTGCTTTGTTTCACTGAGTGCAAACTGCATTCAAAACTGCATTCGGTTCTGTGAGATATGAATTGGCTAAATCTGGAAAAATAATCCATGGCAGAGGGAACTTCTTACCTATCCCTAAACATGATACCACACAGTTAAGGTCTGGAGGATCAGAGGATCAAAGTCAAAGGCCCCATTATGCATTATGTATAATGCCCAATGCATTGCTAGGAGATTGCTACTTTCCTTCTAAAATATGAGAGCCAGCTCCCTACCCTCTCCTCATAAAGAAAAAGATCGGTGTACAGAGAGCTATCAGAGGATGCTGCAATATGAGTGAGGTTATGCCTTTTCTTTTTGAGCAATCTGATGTCTCCCTTCTTCAGCCTGGCAAAATATTCAGCTTTCTTTCCTGTGTAGATGTGCAAGTCTCTCACCAAGGGAGCTATTTTGATGCTCTATTCTATTCTATTCTATTCTATTCTATTCTATTCTATTCTATTCTATTCTGCTTCCTTCATTCCTTTTATATTGTGCAGGAGAAAGAGGCTTGAAACTTGCGCATCTGTACTGTGAATAATAATAATAATAATAATAATAATAATAATAATAATAATAGGCCAGGCTGTGGAAGGGAGGGACTAGGACACACAAGAAGGGAAAATACAACCATATTCCTGCAGCAGCAGCCTTTGATAACTCACTGTCCATCAAGTTGGAAAGCAGGAGTTCAGAACCTACCAGAACAAAGGGGTGGATGGAGAGACCCCCTTGACTTTTGCTTATATGGCCAATAGCATTCACATCAGAGCCAAAAGGCCAGGTAAGTCCACAGAGAGGTCACATTCTAACTTGGAATCTGGGACATTGTGTATGAGAAGCCCAAGTTACTCTGCCTTGCTAAGGCTGCTGTTGCAACCCATGCTCTTCTGACACAAATACTGGTGTCTTCAGGCCACTCACCAGAGAATGGCACATGCCTGTCATGCCTTTCTTTAGTGTCTGTTATTGCAGGGAAGGGGATACACTGCCTGAATGTGACTATCCCAAAGCACTGGCCATAATTCACATACATGAAGGGACCCAAGAAGCTCTGCAGCAAACTTCACACCAGAACAGGTACCCAGCAATGGGATAGTATAAGTGAAATAGGTGGGGGGTGGGGTTTAGATTCCACCTAAGCATATGCCATTTTTGTACATTTGGTGGTAGAACAAAGCTCAAGGTTTTTTTGCACAAATGAGTACAAAAGCACTTAATGACACAATGCATCTTAATGGGGTCACAGCACACTAATTCAGCTGTGATTAGCTGATGGCCAAATGATCAAAAGCTGAGAAATGAAGTGGTGTCATCATGAGCATGTACTGAACCAAAGCACTGTCTTCTCTGGGGATTTTCTTCGATAGTGCAACATCCCCATATTATTTCATCTAAGCCCAGGTTTGTTTGCTTTCTCTCCACTGAGCATAACTTCATAACTAATTATGGGATCTCTGTCACCTTGGCTACAAAATGATAAGAAAACATTGTAGACAAGAGCCAATTATTCAGGAGCTCTTGGGCATTCAACCTCTTTTTAAAATTTATAAATAGTAAACATGGGGACATTGACTTCTTATTTAAGCATAAAATGTGAACCCATGTAAGGAAAGGAGGGAAAAAAAGGGAATACAACACAAGAAAAAAGGGAATATGGCACAAGAAACGAACTAGGAATATTAGAAAATGTAGGTTAACCTAGTGAACCAAACCATGTGGAAGAGTAAGTGTGGTGTGATTCATTTATGGAACCAACAGATACACAGAAACTGGACCTATTGGAAACTTACTTCCTTATTTGCCTGTGAGAGAGGTATTTTTAATCATATTTTCTTTCTTACATTCCCTGTAAAATATAGATATTATGTATTTTCATTATGGGCGGGGGACATGATAAGAAAGATAGAATCCTTCTTAGACCAACCCTTGGGACTCCTGTGCCAACCAGTTTTGAAGTGACACAGGAGCAGTAAAGATAATGGTTAGGGTTAAGGTTAGTGCATTCCATTAAGAACCTGCAGATAATTGCAACCTTTTCAGTGAGGTATTCATTTGCACTTCTTCACATCCAACATAATTTGTAAAATATAATGCTGCAAGCATTAATAGCAAATGTATTTTTGAAGCAGAAGAAAATGAATACAAAAGTAGCAAGGCTACTTTACATGTTTAGAGGTTCAGCAACAATACTGGTGAAGAGAAAGTGCTAGAGATGTCAGTGACATCTATTTTCATATATAAAATATAAGAAAATATATTTTCATATATAAAAGAAACCATGTGGTTTTTTTCACTTTCCCTCAACATGCTATGTATACTTGTTATTCTGTACCGCAAAGGTCATTTTCAAGTACCAGAACAGATGACTTGTGGCCCTTCAGGCATTGTTGGACTACAACTCCTATCATCCCTGTTCATTGTCCATGCTGGCTATGGCTGATGGGAACTGGAATCCAGAAAGATCTGGAAAGTTACAAATGCTCCTTCTCTGCTATAGAGTTTGATGAACTCTTCTACATCGATCCAAATGGCACCGAAATATGCAGAAACAGGAGATCAAAGATACAGAAATTTGTACAATTCAATTAGGATAAAATATAATTTTGGATACACATCTCCTAAATGCAAAGGATTTCAGCAATTAAAATGTGTTTTAAAATTGTTGTTGTTTATTAATATTCTGCTCCAAGTTTTAACCTCTCAGTGCAATAATCAATATTGGGGCAAAATATGGTTCAAACCAAAACAATTTTCTAGTAATTGTGATATTATACTTCCATAGCAGTATTTCGGTATATAATTTAAACTCTTTATTTCATGTTTGCAGCTACCTTCATGATGTGGATATCGGGAGGAAGACAATGCAGAGTAACAAGACAGTAATCACAGATTGTATCCTTTTGGGATATGGGGACTTCCATCATCTGCACTTCCTCTTGTTCCTAGTAATTGTGCTGATCTACATTTCGATCCCAATAATCAACTCTTTTGCCTCTGTTCTAACAGCGACTGACCAGTACCTGCATACACTATTCATATATTTCTTTCTGGGGAATTTGTGCAATGAATGCTCCTGAAATTTATGTCTTTGTAGAGGCACTCCATTTATCAGATTCAATTATCTCAGGGCTATGCATAAGTGTCTTAGTGAACACAATGCAGAGAAACAAAACTGAAATCACAGAGTTTATCCTTCTGGGATTTGGAGAACTCCATCATTTGCAGATCTTCTTGTTCCTGGTGTTTTTCGTGATCTATATTTTGACTATGGCTGCCAATCTCCTCACCATCATTCTGATTCTGAGTGATGAGCACCTACACACTCCGATGTACTTTTTCCTGGGGAATTTATCTTGCTTGGAAATGATGTACAGTTCGACTATCCTTCCTAGGATGCTTGCTGCTCTCATGACAGGGGACCAATCCATCTCTGTAAAAGGGTGCATCACACAATTTTACTTTGGCTCTTTCCTGGTTTGTACAGAATGTTACCTCCTGTCTGCAATGTCTTATGACAGGTTCTTAGCCATATGCAGACCTCTACATTATACCACTCTTATGAATGTCAAGGTCTGCATGCGGTTAGCAGGGGGCTCTTGGATCAACAGCATTGCAGTCATCTCTGTCTATCTGGGCTTGATGTTACAGCTGCGGTACTGTGGGCACAATGAAATTGATCATTTTTTCTGTGAGGCTCTGCCACTGGTAAAGCTGTCCTGCAGTGATACATTTCTGGTGAAACTGGTCACATTTGCTGTGGCTTTTGTAATCTCTTTCCCCCCTTTTGTTTCAACCTTGGTCTCATACATATACATTATTCTTGCCATCTTGAGAATTCCATCCACTACAGGGAGACAAAAAGCCTTTTCCACCTGCTCTTCTCATCTGATAGTTGTCTCCATTTTCTATGGGGCCATCATTATTGTATATCTGATCCCAAAAACAGAAACAGTGAGAGATTTCAATAAAATCTTTTCGCTCCTGTACACAGTTTTTCCCCCATTACTCAACCCACTTATCTATAGCTTGAGAAACAAGGATGTGAAAGATGCCCTGAAGAAGGCTGCTGGTAAAGTTTTGGAAGGTCAATTTGAGAGCCAGATATCCAAAGCTTGATGCTATCTTTCATTTTAGAAATAAGTTCACATAAGTGTGGAGAAGAATAATGGCTGCATTATTTGGTTGCAATAATTATATCCTGACTTAAAGAATCCAAAAATTAAGGCATGCAGACAGAAAATATCCCAACACATCTTTGCTTAAGTATTTAATTGGTTTAGAATCCTAGAGTTAGACATGATTATTATTGGATCTAGAATCTGCCTTTCTTCAGATGAAATATTATGTTCATGGGAGGATCCTTTGCTCAGCTTTTGAGGATCCCTACCTGCACTACACTTGGTGTGAGCAGAATGTAGATCTCCAGGTTTTTTGGACTTCCTCATTGAAGCTCCTGCTAGCATGGTCAATGGTAAAGAATACTGAAATCTGCAGCATTTAGAGATCTATCATCTTCCTAGCTCTGTCCTATATCACTGTGTGCAGGTGGATTTAATGAATTGACTGTTGCAAACTCAAAGGAAAACATGCTATTTTAGTTGACAGATGCAATGTGTGTTTTTTCTGAAGTAAGTTCTGTTGGTTTCTCTACTGAAAGAACAGTGGTCCTCCCCCATTGTGTTAACAAGTTATATAATTAGTTCCAGTTCTCTCAGCTGAGCAGGGGAAGATGGTGATGCAATGGTGGCAGGACCATGCATTCAGTCTGGATTTAGTCTGAAGCTGACATGAGCAATCCATATTGGGGATTAAATGAGTGGAATTGGCTGGAGCTAGGGGTCAGACTAGATGGCCTCAGATTCACTTTTTTCTCCCATGGCCTCAGATTCACTTTTTTCTCCTTCTCTATCATGGGTCCTCAAACTACGGCCGGCGGGCTGGATCTGGCCTGCCATGCACATCATGGCGAGGTGCCGGCTTGCTCACAAGGATATCATTTTGGACTCAGAGAAAAGGCTCTCCTTGCAAGCAAAGACACTGGCTTGCCCCTGCCTGGATGCTCACATGCAAGTGTGTGTGCACCACCCTCCCAGCCCGTGCCCCTTTGCCCACACCACCTTGTTGGCCCGCACCCATCACTGGCAACTTTCAACTGGCCCTCCATCCAAAAAGTTTGAGGAACCTTGTTCTAGATGCACCAACATGTTCAGTACCATGGACAGCTCCTCAAAAGTTCAGAGCACAGTCCACAGGAATATTGACATGTGTTGCCTATATCAAAACTGCCAATACGTTGGATACTTTGAAGGGCTCTTTTAGGAGGGATTCTTCTACATTAAATCAATATAAAATTATAGTTTATGCACCAGCAATGCCTAATAAACTGTCACAGCCATCCTGTAGCTTTATGTCTTTTTGGGGACTATGCCTGTATCTTTAGACTTTTCTGCCTCTGTTACTCCTTTTCAAAAACAAATTTATTTTCTTCTGTTTCCACTGCTCCAATATGTTTCTTAAGGTGACTAAATGTACATGGCTTGGACGCCCATTCTTTGCTTTGGAATCCCCCCCGCTTTTTGGCTTCTGTTTTTATTTTAATAGGAACTACCAGCACCTCCTTTAAGCAATGATGTTAGATGCACTTTAATGGCAGTTGGAATGACTGCTAGGTTGAATAAGTGATCCAGGCAGTGTTCATGATTTTTCAGGGTTGTGATACAAACTCCAGTGACTCATAATGCATCCTTGAGTCTGAAGTTTGCACTATGGCCCTGAAAAGTATTCAGATTGAGAACTACAGTCTCAAATTACAATCTGAGAGGGGGCAGGGGCAGGGACAGCGGCAGGGAGGAGAAAAACTAAATCTTTCTATACCACAGTTCCATTTTCCCTCTCATTCCAAGAGTGTTTCAAAATCTGGAAGTGTTCTCAGAATTTATTTTGAATTACACCTGAGATAAAGTGAATTTCCTCAGTCCAGTTCTCTGCTTAGCTGCAGGAAAGCACAAATGTCACAGCTTCCATCTTTGGCCTTTCTGAGTGCAGGGCTGATCAAAAACAATTTGCCTCCTGTGGTAGAAATCCCCTTCCTCACAGAAGTTCTCCTGTCACTGCAAACCAGGCTGTATAGTACCCAAGGCCAATCCTATATTGGCAACAGGGCAGGGGGAGGTCCCACAAGCACTTCTTCCTTGGCAGAGAAAAAAAAATGCAACACTGATAAATTAAGCATTTCAGTGAAATTCTTGCTAGACTGCATAGAAATGAAGAAACGGTGACATAATGGCTCCTAAGCTCAGCCTGCCATGCCTGATAAAAATATGATCTGCTTGATGGAACTGAAAGTCAATGAGAGGTTCAAAAAACAAAAAACAAAACAAAACAATTGCCCCTTTATTGACCAGTGTAAATCAATGTATGCTATGCTGAGCATGGCTGTCCTGTTCCAAGTCCAAGTAAAGTCCCAAGTCCTCAAAAAAGTCCTCACAACCTCTGAGCTGGACTCACTCTTCTATGAATCAGCCTGTTTATGAATGTGTATTAAGACCATCTATTGAGTCTTGAGCAATGCAAGAGGGTAACAGTGCTTCTGGTACAGACACCCAAATGCATGTATCCAGGCTGCTTGTTCCATGTTGTTTTGGTGTTTTAGGGTTAAATTAACATTGCATTTCTTAATGAACTTGCATCATTTACCTCATCATTATTGAAATTCTCTTGAGATGTAATATCAATTCCTTGAGATTGAATAAATAACAGAGGGAAGCACCCTCTATCTTATAGGTCATGGGACAATAAAGAAAGCAAGCAAAGAAGAAATCAAGGAAGCATGCTTGGAATGCCCAATTAAGTCTCTGATGGGAAAGATACCGTACAATTGGTTCCCTGGACCACAGAATATGTCAGTTAGTATGTCATGCGTCAGAGAGGTATCTATGATGTTGATATTCCCTTTAAAATGTACATGGATAACTATACTATAAGTCAGTAAAATATTATTGTGAAGAAAGAGTTTTATATTGACTAATAAGTCTGAGTGTAAGATCCATGTTACAGAAGAATCCTAGCAAAACCTTATTTCTCTCAGCCTCTCAGTGTATACCAAGCACTGCAATACAATGTTTCAGCTACTGTATGCTTGGAAAGGCACAGAAGGTGAAAAATGCTCTGAGACCTCCCCATCCTTCTAAGGGACATGTAACTGCATGGTAGGAGGGCCTTGAGAGGAAGTGCCACATCCTTTGCTCTGTGCTAGTGGATATTGCTTAAAAATACAGAAAAGTCCTTACTGATTTTGAAAATTAATATCTTACTTTACAGATGTCCCTTACAATTACTAATGTGTTATGAGTTTTCTCTCTGATTTCTTCCAGTCATCTGTATACATGGCATCATGCAGATGAACCAGACTGGTGTCACAGAGTTTATCCTGCTGGGTTTTGGGGAACCACAGAGTCTGCAAACCTTCCTCTTCTTCTTATTTCTTCTCATCTACATTTTGACCCTGATTGCCAACTTCCTCACCGTTCTTCTGGTAGTGACTGCTCACCACCTGCACACACCCATGTACTACTTCCTGGGAAATTTGTCCTGCTTGGAGATCATATACAGTTCCACCATCCTTCCCAGGATGATGTCCAGTTTCTTGACAGGGGACAAAACCATCTCTCTTTGGGGATGCATGCTGCAATTTTACATCTTTGCTTTTTTAATTGGTACAGAATGTTATCTCCTCTCTGTGATGTCTTATGATCGTTTCTTAGCCATATGCAAGCCTCTGCATTATGCTAGTCTTATGGATCATAAGCTTTGTTTCTGTTTAGCAGGTGGCTCTTGGGTGAGTAGCATTGTGTTTATATCTATATATTTACCTTTTGTGTTGGAGTTGCACTACTGTGGTTCCAATAAAATTGATCATTTTTATTGTGAAGCCTTTGCATTGATAAATCGCTCATGCAGTCCCGGCAGAATTCTTCCATTTGTTACAGTAACCCTGGCTTTTCTTTTTAGCTTCCCTCCCTTCCTTTTGACACTCATCTCCTATGCATGTATAATTCACACCATCCTGAAAATCCCATCCATCACGGGGCGGCAGAAGGCCTTTTCCACCTGCTCCTCTCACCTGATCGTTGTGTTTCTTTTCTATGGATCCATTTTTATTGTTTATTTGATACCAAAAGTGGAAAGAGTGAAAGACCTTAGCAAACTATTTTCTCTGCTATATACCATTTTTCCTCCGGTAGCCAACCCCCTCATCTATACCCTGAGAAACAAAGATGTCAAAGATATTCTGAGAAAGGCTGCTGGGAAGATAATGAGAAACCATGTTTGAATCATGCATTCAGAGCAGTTCCTTTTACAACGGTCTCTGCTCTACTAGGGCTATTGACTAGGGAATTCAGGTAATAAATGTTCTTTTGAGTAAATGTTTTTTGAGATTGCAGAAATACTTCAATTTTAATAGGGTGGTCATATTAAGAGAATTACTTGATATGCAGCTATTTGGATATAGGGTCATAACTTGAATCAATTTATATCAGACTTTAGAAAATGTGGGGAGGTGAAAAAAATTGGTTAAGTTTATGTTTTGATGTGAAGTTAATTTTTCAATTTTGAACCAGCATGGAAACCCTAAAAATCCTTTCCCCTTCCCTAATATTTTCCTTTCTCAGAATCACATAATCGTTTTTTCAGCTCAAACCATGCGTCCAAATATGCTCATGTTAGTGAAAATACTGTTCAGTTTTACATTATATTAGGGAGAGGACTTTGCATAATATTTATATTAGCCAATGCTGTGTAGATAATACATAGATTAGAAAAAAGGAAGACAAAATAATACAAATTTGTGTGCGACTGTATCTATTCATCATTTAATGCCTTCTTCAACTGGTGCACTGGTGATTGCTGTAACTGTAATGTGAACTGGCACTGTGACTCTCAGGAAGCCAGAAGGGTTAACAGTGTGACAACTAAATGTTAGAAAATATGATGCCAGCCCAGCAGGAATCAGTGCTCCAAGGAGTTGGGCACCCTTTTTGTCATGTTGATTGGATAGTTATCAGAAATTATGGAATCAAAGATGGTGGAGATAACAGCAATGACTAAGTAATGAC